ATTTTGGTCATATCAATCACAATGGTGGATTGGAAAAAAAAGTAATAGCAGAAAGCAAGGTATCTGAAAAGCGGGTGCACAGACCGACAGCAGGAAGATGGGCTCAGGATATAAGTAACACCCGAGGTAGGAATGTGCAAGAGGCAAGAGATCTGGCGATGACCGATTTTCTTTTAGACAGACCTTGATAAGAGCGACATCCTGCAAAGGACCTGCTACATTACAGTGATGGATTTGAATCCCCACTGACATGAATTTTTTAAATTTAAAGTGACCTGGGCTCTCAGTCTAAAAATGAACATGGGGAAATTTTTTGGGAAGTAAAGACTACAGGGGAGAATTTTTACCACTGAGTGCCAATTGGTCAAGATTTTGGGACCAGCACATTGTTCCCTCCAAACCTCAGGGTGGGGAAATGGGTAAGTTACTTGGCTGTAATACTTATGCTTAATATCTGCCCAAAATAACACTTTTGCTGCCTGGGTAAAAAAGTCTACATGGGCCATGTAAGTTAACATATCAAGATATTCCTCCGTACTGGGGACAGCTTTTAAAGACTGCCCCCTTGACGAGACTGTCGCAGTTACGTGGCCGACTTTCATTATCCCGCCCAGCTGTCAACCACAGCTGTAAAAAAAACCAGATCCTGCGTTGGAAATGGGGGGGGGGGGACAGCCAGCGAAATGGCCGCCATGAGCGGAAGTGAAGCCAGATTTGACAACAGAGTGCATATGAACATCCAAGACCTAAAGAAGGTGGCAACGAACCACCAGACATGGAGAGCTACAACTTCTGCACTGAGCGCCATGCTAGATTCAATAGGAAAGACTAACATATCTAATAATAGTACACAGATGGCATTTTTTTTTTTAATTTATGTACAATTTATAATTACCATTTTGAATGAAAATAGTGGTGAAAAATACAAATTCCGTTTATGACCAGTTAAACTTATTACCTGTTAGTTGGATCGGAACTCGGTCATAAGTTGAGGTGACCTTGTACTTGTTAGGGATGCACCAGGTCTATCCCCCCCCCCCCAAATGGGGCCCAGGTATCCACAAGAGGAATGAAACACTTAATACCAATGAAGTAAACATGGTCAAATTAGGCTCAATCCCAAACAATCTGTACGAATCAATATCAGACTTCTAATCTTCGTCAAATAAACAGATCCTTCACTTCAGCCATCAGCAGCTGTATCAGTATTGATAGGCGACACTCATAACATACAACATAATTGTTAAAAATAACTACTATTAGTATGCCAGAACAAACTATTAAAATTTACCTCAAGTTTTGTGAACAGAAGTGTTACCAGCCACTTAATGTTTCGAGGATTCATACTACAGCGTGAAAACATCTGGAAAAACTGCTCTGCAGCACAGGTTCGTATACTTCGACTGAAGAGAATTGGAATATAAATTAGTAGACATGTGAGGGTTCTGCAAGCACCTTGACGGTACCTGAAATGTCAAGGCTTCTTCATACACAACAGGCCATTACCAGATATGATGACAAGTTATATGCCTCTCTCTAATTTCCTTTCCCAACAAAGGGCAAAGAGGGGGTCTGGGCCAAAGTACTTAAGCCTTTTATTTTGCGCTCTGAAAGTTGTGGGTTTAGTTCTGAACTCTGTTCTTTGGTTGACAAGTGCAGGTGTTTCGATCCTTGACCACTGTCTCTGTCTGGGGATGAGAAGTTTGGAGCTATGTGCAACAATCTGTAGGTAAACAGCAGTTCAGTAAGGACAAAGTCAGATTGGGTTAGACTGCAATGAAGTCAATCCTTCTGCCTTTAAACACCCCCCCCCCCCCTTTTTAAAAAAAAAGGCAAAACAAGTTATTTATATCAAGATTTCATCTTGATATCTGTCTATTACAATGTGGATGTATGGAATGCCTGAAAGCTATCCCCTAACTAAAAACTCACTGTGTGATTTCACTTGGCCATTTTTTTTTTACATTCAATAGTTTGTCATTTCTTTCTGAACCACAAAGTACGCACATTGTTGTCAAAAATGTACTCAAAGCATTTGCTACCACCTTGACTGCAAAATGACTTCAAACCTCAATATTCCTCATGTAAGTTATGGGGGCTCCATTGAATTCTCGTGTGTGTGTGCACGCGTGAGTGTGTGTGTGTGCACGCGTGAGTGAGTGTGTGTGTGTGTGTGTGTGTGTGTGTGTGTGTGTGTGTGTGTGTGTGTGTGGGGGGGGGGCAGATCCATTGTCCCTTTACAAGCATACAATAAGAGGGTGTGCTGAAATCGGATGTGTAAAGGTACAGGTAATGTAGCTGGATGCAAACATCACAATGTGCTATTATTTAAAGAGTGAACATCATCATCATCATCAGGTGGTTTGCATCACAGTCTGCCTGAAAGAAACTGAGTCTCTCGCCAATTCTCTCGCCTCAAGAACTTTCATACCCAAAGAGTCATCTATCTCCTGTTCCCATCTTCGTATTGGTCAGCCCTTGCCACTCCTTTCTGGTACCATGCTTTCTGCTATTATTTTTTTTTCCAATTTGCTGTGACGTTTAAAATGACCAAAATATTTCAGCTTCTGAGACAAGATGCTGTTTATTAGCCATTCTTCCTTGATGTTCAGATCTTTTAGAATGTCAGTATTTTTTCTCCTTTGTCCATTTTCTGTGAACACAGGTAAAAATAGAAAAATAATAAACCCTGCTATGTCAGCATTATAACCCTGTGTTCACAACCTAAAAAGCTACAAGCACTGACAAGAATGAACAGGGTGACTGAAAACACATGTTGTGCTAGGAAACAGTTTACAACCACTACAGGAGGACTCACCTTGTTTTGCACAGCAACAATAGGTCAATAATGAAATTCTTCCATGCATTCTCCTTGTCCAGCTGGTCAAGAATGGGTGGGCAGAGAGCCACACAAACAGTCAGATTCTCTAAGCCTTCTCTAGCTACTATGATATCCTCATTATCTGATGGAACTCCCTCCTTGGGCTACAAAAATTTTTTAGATAGAAAAATGAAACAATAAAGGTAACTGCCTGTCAATTATCGGTGCCCTAAAGGGAATCAAATATTTCATAAAACAAACCAAACATTACATTTAGTACAATCAAGGAAATCACCTATCAGTTACTGGATGGACCCTTAAGGTATGCAAATATTTCAGAAAATAAACAATACATATATTGCAATCAAGGAAATCACCTGCCAGTTATTGATCCCTTAGGGGATGCACATATCAGAAAACAAACTAAACAATATGCATACTGCAATCAAGGGAATCACCTGCCAGTTATTGGACCCTCAAGCATGGTGCGAGACTGTAAGCTGTGGATTTCACTTGGAATGCTTTTTGACTGCGACCAACATGGTGTTGTGAACTGTAGATTCAGAAAATGTTGTGTGGCCTATTGCCACAGAAATAGTGGTGCCTCATGTGATTAAAATTGATGACGTGTGCATCTGCCTACCAAGATTGTCTTAAGAGGAGACTAAGAAGGACTGTCCTAGGACTGACTAGCCTACCCCCCCCCCCCCCCCCCTCTAACAACTTGCACTCACACCCTACAACATATGAAGGCCAAACATTTCATACCCCAGTGGCAGTAACTGCTATAGGACTACACTGACATTTTTACTTTTTTTATAAAGTTACAATTTCAAGTGTCAATGCCCAACGTGGACACTTAAATCCTCCAATGAACGTAAAATTGTGACAACAGAGATAAAATGCCTTAGAAGAGCAGCAGGAGTTTCAAGGAAATACAGAATATGACATTACGAAATCACACGAATGCTAGGAATAAAGCCAGTCTTACAAGTCATCAAAGAACAACAAATGAAGTGGTTTGGACACTTCACAACAATGCCTTGGTACTATCTGCCACAGTGAGCCACACTAAAACATTACAACGAGTATAGAGCGAGTGGAAGACCTCAGAAAATATGGAGTGATGGCATTAAGAACAGCCTTACAGAAATGAACATCAGTCTTAACAGCGCTCTTGACAGAGCTCATCAATGAATTTTGCATCTCCCCCCGACACTTCACTGAGGTACAAGGTGGAAGAAGACAAAACATTTCAAGTCGCCAGGATTGACTTCATTGCCCCCGGTTACCCCATTTAGCCTGGTCTTTCTCCAAGACTAACTGCCTGCGAAGAGTGTCGCACAAAGCGTGACTCCTTAGCTCCAATGGCGATCCCCAGGCTTCTTTCTCTGCAAAAACTGCACTTGTGAAACCAGACCACTGTCTTGACAGGCAAGCATGGTAGCTGCTATGCCACCACAACTTTGCTGTGGGAAGGTTTTCTAATTTTATATTTGGTATGTGGAGACCGATCTGTTCAGTCTACTCGTTTTTCAGTCAAATTACCCGTGGGAGTTCCAGGAGCCCCATTGTAGGGGTGAAAAGGGGGGGGGGGGGGAGATGAAAAGAATAGACCCACTGCTCCACTTCTGTAAAATGATCTCAAGACCTACCAAGCACAGAGAAAAACAAGAAAAAACACAATGCCTCACGTCTGTGAAATGATCTCAAGACCTACCAAGCACAGAGAAAAACAAGAAAAAACCCCAATGCCCCACGTCTGTGAAATGATCTCAAGAACTACCAAGCAAGGAGAAAAACAAGAATAGACCCAATGCCTCATGTCTGTGAAAATGATCTCAAGAACTACAAAGCACAGAGAACAACAAGGAAAAAACCCCAATGCCTCACGTCTGTGAAATGATCTCAAGAACTACCAAGCACGGAGAAAAACAAGAATAGACCCACTGCCTCCAACAAGATGTTGTAAGAGACGACTACCGTGTGTCAGTGAAATCATCTCAAGACCTACCGAGGTCGGTGAAAATGGCTTGTCCACTTGGACTCTCAACCCTGAACAACTGTGAACTGAACCCGACCAGTCTTGGCAGACAAAAACAATATCTGCTACACAACCAGGGCTTGCCTATTTCTTCTACAGCAATAAAAGTTGGCACACACAAAAACTCAAACTTACCGAGTCAAAAGCAGCATGGATGTCTTCGTACGAGGCGTGTATCAAATGAAAGCTGCAAGCACTGGCTGACCAAGCTAGCTTCATGATGGCTTTGACTGTGTTCAGATCCGGGCTTACACCAACGGCCTTCAAAACAGAAAACCTCAGCTGATTTGACATAAAATAAAACAGTAATATTGCTCTGCTTTGTCTCTTGTACATTCAACTTTTTCAGTCCCGGAAAGTTTTACATTAGACGTTTAGGAGTGTAATCATTGTTAAATCTCACAAGCACAAGCATTACTCCTGAGAGGCAAGTAACCAACAGTCTGCATGCAAATGATTCAGACCTATGAAACAGATGTACACGCAACACTCAGTTTCTGGATCAGGAAATGGGACCTCAAGGGACCAGAAGTGGAGGAACAACCAGAACTTTCCGCTAGAGTTTATAGCCGGTGAACAAGAAGAAGAAGAAGAAGAAGAAGAAGAAGAAGAAGAATGGTCACTGCATGTACTGTGATGAAAACTGAAAACTTAGAGAAGACATTTTTCATTATTAAAAAAAAGAGACCACAATAGAAGTGGTTTTATGACTTTCTAAACAAACGAATTACTTTGAAGATGCAAAATGACTACCTTAGAAGTGGCCAGTTAGGAAGCCAAATGTTTTTAAATATGCAGACCCCACCCCCAAATATCATTTAACCCACTCCACAATAAAAAGGGTTCAACAGCAAAAACCCTATGGATTTTTCACAATGATTAGGATTCAATTTATACATTTCACAAGCTACCTAGGACTGAAAGAGTCAATGCTCGAGATAATGTAGTTTTTTTTTTTTCCAATTTTATTTTTAATGCATGAAACATTGTAAACAGTGAATATATATATGAGATCAATGGAACAAATGTCAGGGATTGTAGTTGGTGGTTATGTGACAAATAACCTGCATTATGCAGATGACACCAACGCTCATGAAAGAACAGCTTTATCTAAAATTGTTTGAGTTACAGCCCTTGCTGCAACCTGCCACTTCCGCCCATCTTTCTGTGAAGTCCCCTCTTCCTGCATCACACGCGACTCAAAGAGTTGCCTATCTTTCTGTGAATCCCCTCTTCCTGCATCACACGCGACTCAAAGAGTTTCTATTTTTCAGGTGTGTTATGGCTAATTCTAAAAGAGACTTCTACTTACAGAAAAGTGATTTTGTGTATTCTTGTATGTAACTGTAAGTGTCTATTGATATGATGTGTGCTGATGAAGGCTTTCTAGCCACAACTGTTGTCATTTGTAGTTGTGACAATGTGAAGCTGACCAATTCTACTTCCCTTTCAGATTATCTCTTCATGACACTACAGCTTAACTCTTTGAGTCCCAGGGGGTCTAGCATCAGAGGCCCAATGGGTAGTAAACAGATGTAAAATCTACATATTTTACATTCACTGGGCTTCTAGGTAGGAACCTCTGAACGTATGATGCGTTCCTTGGGTCTCAAAGAGTTAAATAACTGAAGAAAATGAAACTAACTTTAAAACAATATAAAAGATCTCCGCGTGGGTTCTGGAACCCCCACTGTGGGGGAAAAGAGAATAGATCCACTGCCTTCCCAACAAGCATTCTGTAAGAGTTGACTAAGTGAGGGGCTTACTTCAAAGTCGGAGTGCATCTGCCTGACAGGCAAAGAACCAACAATCTTCAAACAATTTAGTCAGATCTGTTAAATGGATGTGCACAAAACACTCAGGTTCTGGAACAAGACTAAAGTCCGGAGGTGGACAAACAACCTGAACTTTCCGCCGAGTTAACAGCTGGTGAATGCAAAGAAGAACAATGTAAAAGATAGGAAAGATGCATGCAGATACAAGCAAATATTCACCATAAATACACACTTTTGTAAACACTCATACCAGACCCACCTGCTCAACTAACTGCCCGCCAAGTCGCGAGGCAACGTTCCTCATGCTGTACTCAGACTCTGGGTTGGGGATGTGCAGCAGAGCCTGCTGCAATGCTGCAGCCTCTTCATGAGCTTTCTGGGTCACGGTTCTCACGCCAGCCTCTGAAGCACATGCCTCTACAACAACCTGCACACGGGCATGACCCAGGACGGTCAGCATCATTTTGCTGATTTTCAACACAGTCTGGTATGCTGCTCTGAGAACATTTTAAGGGAAAGATTTCTGCTTATTTTCCATTTCATTTAAATTCTTGAGAAATTACATCATACTGTATTTTTGTTGTATACAACAAGCTGCATTTTTGGTTTATAACTGTTCAACAATTTTTACAACCTAAATCCACTCTTTTGGCCTTTTTTTTTTTTCAACAACATATACATGTCATGGCAACCTAAATCTATTATTCTGACACTTCTTAACAAAGTATACATGTCCTGACAACCTAAATCCATGATTTTAACAAATCGCAGCAAGATTTACATGTCCTGACAAGTTAAATCCATAACTCTGACATGTCATGACAACCAAATACACGATTCCTGGAAGAAGAGCAGTTGTCAACCAACATGAAAGGTTGCACAAAATACTGAAGACACCATTGGTATGAAAATATACCAGGCAGGGGGATCGAAAACGGACTACGAGGTCTTCCATCGGGCCTTGATGGTACTAACAAAACAACATTCTGCAAAGGATCTGTGATATAATTTCTCTCTCTCTCTCTCTCTCTCTCTGTGTATGTGCAGGCATGCGCATGTGTACCTGTAGAGGTGGTGAGGGTTGTGAGGAAGCTGGAGTCCCTCCAACTCTTTCTGAGCAAACTCTTCTAGGGCTGCTTTTCTTGTGTGCAAAGTTTAACTTTTTCCTGCCATGCTTTATTACAATGCCAACAGGTTTTTTTTACTGTATCTTTGGAATGCACCTGCACTACCTTCTATCATGTGCACTGCAAAGCTTTAAGTTGTTTTCACTTTTCTTTTCAAAAGATAACATTCTTTTTCTACAAGATTATACTATATACCACCAGAGTATACACCTGCTCGACTTACAATATCCCCCCTCCCTTCCACACACACAGACAGACAGACACACACACCCAAATATATATTTTTAAATAAATAGTACATTTTAAAAAAAAGGATTATACTGATAAGAGTCAAAAAGTTCCCAGAACCTATGCAATAAAGTACACATTATGTATTGTTCACATTGTGTACAATTATTGGCATATTAACATATGGCTGTGAAATCTTGGACAATTAGTAGGCAGGCCAAACAATTTCTTGAGGCCTCAGAGATGAGGTTTTACAGAAGAAAGCTTAGAATACCTTGGATAGCCAAAAAGAGCAACCAAGAGGTTTTGAAAGAAGCGGGAGCCTAAAGACTGACATCAGAAGGAAACAGTCATCATTTTTCGGCCATGTTATGAGAAGAGGGAAAATAGAACATGTTGTGACCACTGGAGGGATAGAGGAAGACAATGAGAGAAGATTCTTGACAGTCTTGTTGCATGGCATGGAGGTGTGTCAGCACACGAACTGATACATGCTGCAGGAGATCATGGATTATGGAGAGGCATGATCGCCCACGCCTGTCAGCAAGGCACCTGATGATGATGATAATGATGATGATGATGATAGGCATACAGACTGAATATTTATGTTTAAAAAACAATTAGAACAACATGTTTGAAAGAAAGTAGTGTTTAAATATATAAACTCAACTTATGACCAGTTCGATTTTATCACCTGTTAGTCGGAATGGAACTTGGTCCTAAGTCGAGAGAATCTGTATTCCTTTAACAAACCAAAAAAGCTGCCATTAGTGCCTACAGAGACATTTTTTGTGTGCTGTGCAAGAAAGTTGGGTCTTGAACCAGAGAATTTAGGACCACAAGGCTCGCAGTCATCATTAACCGTACAGGTTAGGATATTTATTTCTTTAGAAAAACTTCCACCGCCTTACCAAGGATTTAACGGGGGTCTTCTGCAGGTGTTCTAACCACTTGTCCAGCCACTCCTCTGCTAATATATTATATATACCGCTATAATACTACACTGGGAGCCGCTGTGGTGTAGTGGCTAGGCACTTGCATGTGGATCCAAATGTCGAAGGTTAAAGTCCTGGAGACATTATCCTTATCTACAGACAATACTGTCCTATGCCTACCTTCTAGAGGGTAGATCAGCATTGGGCATGAAGTTGTTCTTGGTCAACATATTGATGGCTAACTGGATTCCTCCACTGAGAACAAACTTGTACTGAAACTCAAAAGCCTCCTCACACATGGGATCCAAGCTGGGCATCAGAAGTGCGTAGCACACCTGAATAAAAAAAAAAAAAACATTATAACATTCTGATTAACCCTTGCATCCTGGCATTCCATTTCTACTTTATTAAAGTTCCTAGAACCAGGATTCCTCTGCATCTTTGAGACCTCCTGAAGAAGTTATAATTACACCAGATGTCAACTTGAATAATCAGTGATAACTTATAGTCAGGACACCTGAACAATACTGCCATCTTGTTTTTGTTATTCTTCTTCTTCTTTATCTTTTTCTTAGCATTTACCAGCTGTGAACTTCATGGAAAGTCCTGCTTGTTCATCTATTTGTGGTTCCTTGCCTCTCAGGCAGATGCGCTCCAACTCTGTGAACTTTGATGGAAAGTCCTGCTTGTTCATCTATTTGTGGTTCCTTGCCTCTCAGGCAGATGCGCTCCAACTCTGTGAACTTTGATGGAAAGTCCTGCTTGTTCATCTATTTGTGGTTCCTTGCCTCTCAGGCAGATGCGCTCCAACTCTGTGAACTTTGATGGAAAGTCCTGCTTGTTCATCTATTTGTGGTTCCTTGCCTCTCAGGCAGATGCGCTCCAACTCTGTGAACTTTGGATGGAAAGTCCTGCTTGTTCATCTATTTGTGGTTCCTTGCCTCTCAGGCAGATGCGCTCCAACTCTGAAGGAAATACTTCTAATTAGTTGCCTTTCCCGACAAGCTTGTTAGAAGGGCAGTGTGCCTATTGCTCCTACCTCCTTCCAACCAAATTGGGGCCCAGAGGGACCCACACCAGGACTCTCAATATTTTCCTGTCTTCCATAGATCCTGACCACTTCAAGATAATGGGTAGAACTAGTTTCTCCTCTCTCCCCCCCCCCCCACCCTCTAGTTTCTGTTCTGCTTTCTAGGTTTTCAAGAGGCATCTGGTGTGTGCGCTTTGATGTGTGCTGCATAGTTGTTGGTACGAATGCAAAGATATTATATCTATCCACTTCTTGCATGGACGACCTCTAGAGTGCTGCTTCTGCTATGACTAAGTGTCAGGGCTCTCTGTAGTGCACTAATGTTTGGTTGTCTTGACACATGTCCAAACCATTTGATTTGTTGTCTTTTGAGGTAGTCTAGCACCGGTTCCATCCAAACTTCTTCCTGATAATGTCGCTGATATTGTTGTAGGACTATATTTGGTTCTTTCGTAATAAGTCACCCCAGATGACATCACAGGGACAGTCCAATATTTTATAGGGTGGTAAGACCCGGTTTTCTGACTTTGTGGTGCTTTTAACTACTCCAAAACATCCAGAACAGGACCTAATCCCAACCCACCTACATCCCACAAGAGAGTGCAGCCTAGGTCCCACGACTGCATGAAGCCTATCTACCATCCCCAGAAATATTGGACTGTCTGTTAAAGGTGAATAAAAATGAAAGCACCCTATATTAATTAATTCAAATACCTTTATTATGATCATCTCCTATCTTGAACACACAGTAACAGATGATGCCGAAGTGAAACAGAAATCAAAAAGAGAATAGGAACAGCTAAATCAATCTTCACTAAGAAGTGCAGATTATTTATAGCCAGAGAGATAAACAACAATTTAAAAATAAGAATCGTCAAATGTTATGTATACTCAGCCCTGCTGTGTGGTGCAGAAACTTAGACAATAAACATGCAACTAGAAAATCTAACTGAGTCTCTGGAATTGTGGATATAAAGAAGATTAAATATGTTATATTTGGGGGGAGGGGGGTGTAAGAGAGAGTCCAATAAAGATATTCTGGAAGGACTATGAATAAAAAAAGAGAATTACAGAAATAAATTTTCAAAAAGACAACTGAAATAAATAAGCCACATTGAAAGACATAGTACGTTTTTTAAAAAAACCAAACTGGAGGGAAAGGTCGAGGGCAGGAGAGCAAAAGGTAGACACGAACACAAGTGGGAGGACAACATCAAGAGATGGACAAACAGCAGTCTGAGAGAGTATAGAACTAAGACAAGAGATACAGCATGCTGCAGATCTACTGCAGCCATCCTTCAGTGTGGAGATGGCACCTGACTGATTGACTGACTATGATATTCCCTCAAAATTTAAAAACCATTTCACATGTCAAATCCAATAAACAGACCCTTGTTCTCAAGCCTCAAGCACACACCACCCACCTCAATGTTATACAGTGTCTGTGTGGTTGAGTTGTTGAAGAACATGGTTTCCAATGCAGATGACATGGGCTGGTCTGAGTTAGCTCCCTCCGAACATATAGTGGTAAACTTTTTCACAGTATGTACATCTGAAATATACAAGCATACAAGTCAACAGATGTTTTAACTAACCCTAACCCCAACATCTGAAATATACAAGTCAACAGATGTTTTAACTAACCCTAACCTTAACATCTGAAATATACAAGCATACAAGTCAACAGATGTTTTAACTAACCCTAACCCCAACATCTGAAATATACAAGTCAACAGATGTTTTAACTAACCCTAACCTTAACATCTGAAATATACAAGCATACAAGTCAACAGATGTTTTAACTAACCCTAAAACTAACATCTGAAATATACAAGCATACAAGTCAACAGATATTTTAACTAAAGCTAACCCTAACATCTGAAATATACAAGCATACAAGTCCACAGATGTTTTAACTTCTAAAGTGGGTTTCGGGTCCTCGTCTGAGGGGAGGTGGGGCGAGGATGGGGGGATGGACCCACTACCTCCCTAACAAGCATGTCCTAGAAGGTGACTACTTAGGGGTGCTTCCTTCAAAGTTGCAGTGCACCTACCAGAGAGACAAGGAACCAACAGTCTGCATACAAATAACTAGAACTGTAAAATGGATGTTCATGTGAAATTCAAGTTCTGGAACAAAACCAAAGTCCAAAAGTGATTGAACAACCAGATTTTTTCCACAGTAAAAACTAAGAAGTATACGTGGTTAAGATCAGATAGTCAATATTTTAGTCAAACAAATCACTAGATTGTCAAGATCTCACAGTAAACATTTTAGTCATACAGGTTAACATTGTAAAGTATCCTACATCTATGACACAATTATATATAGGGTGTATGAAATCAGCATCATCAAGTAGCAGGTCCGTTGCTCTCATCATGGTCTGCCTGATCATAGAAACTTGGTCTCTCGCCAGCTCTCCCGCCTTGTGAACTTTCACATTCAAGGAGTCAATTATATCCTGTGCCCATCTTCGTGTTGGTCGGCCCCTGCCTCTTCTTCTTGTTACCATTCTTTCTTCTATTACTTTTTCCAATCAGCCATGACCAAAAGATTACAGTTTCCAAGACAAGATGAAATTTATTAGCCAATCTTCCTTGAAGTTCAGATCTTTTTTAAAATGTCAGTATAACTTCTCTTCTTTGAGGTAAACCAGTAGGCCTCAAAAAGTAATATTGAAAATATAACTTTACTTGCTGTTGTTTAAAAAAAAAAAAAGACCCTTTTGAAGCTGATAGCGCGACAGACATATGCTGCTAGACTCATATAAAAGAAAGTCATAGAGTACAACTTGTGGGATTTGGTGCTGCTTCACTGACTGATTAATAAAGACATACCTGCAGGCATGATTTTGAGTATAGCCCGGGCTGTATCCCTCAGTTTGGGCTCCTGGAGCTGACAGCCGAGATCTGACAGCTGGAACAGGAACTGGCTGTACTTGGCTTTCTGCGACATCAACTGCAGCACACACAAAGGCAAGATGTTGAGTGTAAAGAGATTCTAAGACCATACCAGCTGTGAAATTGTACCTTTGAGTGTACTGGGATATGACATGAGGTCCTTGCATACCATTTCCCTCTCAGAGAAATGAATATAACTCACTTAAAGAAATGCCCTTGTGAGATCTGGAGTCCTGTCGTAAAGTGGCCGTAATTTTCCAATCTTATCTATCCTCCCACAAATGAACTCTAGAATATTCGTATCACAGAACAAACTTCAAACTATGACGTATAGAATATGTAAAAGTGTCACTGAGCAACCAATCAGTAGTGGGGTTGATTTTTAAAAATGTCATCCTCCCCAACCCTTAACTTAGCAGGGCATTTTGCGAGGAAAACATCGGGAAAGGAGGTTGCCATCAGAGAGGTACAGAAGATGATAAGTGAATTACCAGTGAGACTTTAAATGATGCTAAGCACAAATCCCTCTCTGATGTAACGAATGACAAAAGCAACATCTGAAGCTGAACAATAACAAAATGAAGCAATACTGAAATCTGAAAAAAAATTGACCTTCCTGTCAAGAATAAAAAATCTCAAGAAAATTGAAGACTTATATAAGAAAATGAAGGTAATGTGAAAATCTGAAGAAATACTCCAACGCAGTACAGCAGCAATGGGTCTATGATAAAAAATATGATATATTTTATTCATTAAATGTTGTTAGTAAAAGAATGAAAAAAGAGTGTAGCAAATAATACTGAAATTTGACAATTTAACATGCTTTCTTTTAATATGACAAGTTGATGAAAATTTATATAAAGAAAAAGACACACCTATTAAAATCTCATATATTAACATCTTCTTTGTTATCCTGAGATATTTGAATAATATGTCTGTATGAAAGAGAAGGAATTTCTTAATGTTTTAAGTTTCTTGAGGGCAATAAGTAAACAGTGAGGTTACCCCAGTTAGATTTTAAGCCCACGGCATATCTTTATTAATGATAATAATAATAATGCTGACCATTTAACTCCTCACTTCAGGATTAGAAAACTCCTCACTTCGGGAGTAGAAAACTCCTCACTTCGGGAGTAGAAAACTCCTCACTTCAGGATTAGAAAACTCCTCACTTCGGGAGTAGAAAACTCCTCACTTCGGGAGTAGAAAACTCCTCACTTCAGGATTAGAAAACTCCTCACTTCGGGAGTAGAAAACTCCTCACTTCGGGAGTAGAAAACTCCTCACTTCGGGAGTAGAAAACTCCTCACTTCGGGAGTAGAAAACTCCTCACTTCGGGAGTAGAAAACTCCTCACTTCGGGAGTAGAAAACTCCTCACTTCGGGAGTAGAAAACTCCTCACTTCGGGAGTAGAAAACTCCTCACTTCGGGAGTGGAAAACTCCTCACTTCGGGAGTAGAAAACTCCTCACTTCAGGATTAGAAAACTCCTCACTTCAGGATTAGAAAACTCCTCACTTCGGGAGTAGAAAACTCCTCACTTCAGGATTAGAAAACTCCTCACTTCGGGAGTAGAAAACTCCTCACTTCAGGATTAGAAAACTCCTCACTTCGGGAGTAGAAAACTCCTCACTTCGGGAGTAGAAAACTCCTCACTTCGGGAGTAGAAAACTCCTCACTTCGGGAGTAGAAAACTCTGAACAATATTTTGTCCTCAGGACATTTCCCAAGACAGATTTTCTTGATCGAGCCATAGTTTCAGAAGTTCTTCCTTCCTTCACTTTATGACAGGTCTACTGGGGATGGCTACAGAGAATATACTTACTGATTTCCTAACAAGCACGTTGTAAAAGGGGCTAATTAGGGATTTTACTCTCAAGCCGGAGATCCTCTGTCCTCTGCCTGAGCAGTCAGGAACCAACCAACAGTATGCATACAAGAAAGCCAGATCTCTATTTGTAAAACTGATGTGTATGCAAAATTCAGGTTCTGGAACAAGACTGAAGTCCAGAAGTGGATAGCAGCCAGAACTTTCCACCAGGGTTTACAGCCAGTGAACACTATGAAGATGATGATGACAATGATGATGATGATAATATTAGTAATAACTTAACGGAGACTAGTTAAACTCTAGACCAAACATATAATGTATGCGTGTGCGCGCAGGCACGCATGCACGTGCACACACATATATATATATACTGAACAGACTTATGTCCTTGGCAACTGACCTAATGTGATCAGACACAGCCCCTGCTCTTCTGAACCAGCAGTCTCTGCAGCATGATGTGCTCTAAAAGTACTGGCATTACCCTTCCTGTGGATTCCCATGCCTCCTTATACCCTACCACACAATGCAACACTATCATCTAGTTTGCGGCTTCAGGAAACTCTATACAAGCATAACACTGACAACAACAACACCTACCACTCCCGGCAATGCACTTTCTGCCTCTGGGTTTGGCCCCTCATACTGATTGTGAGGAGATCCCACAGAGCTGTCACTGCTGCTCTCTGGACTAGAAGGCATGTTGCCTCCAACTTGCAACAGTTTCCCATTGAGTGTCTGAAACAACAGTGTAGGTAACAGGTTACTCACCAAAGACTTCATATCTTATTCTCTGTTAAGGTATTTAAATAATGTTAGCTGCCTATCCTTTACAGTAGACAGGTCAAACTGGGGGCCCGCAGGTCTCATGCAGCCCTGTGCAAGGGCACCTGCCTAAAGGAAGCATTCTGTAATAATGTTTATTCATTGACTCCATTTAGTTGTCTTGTGGGCTCTTCAGTTAAAAACAACAGTGGGACTGGCTGAAAGACCTGAAGGGGGTTCCTGGCAACAGGCTCCTCATTTGTGGGGATTTCAATGCAATGAAACATTGAATCGGACAGTACTGGGGAAAACCGACAGGTAGTTGCCCTTACTGACGCCAAAGTTGATTCAGACACGGCTATTGACCTGGCTCTGGTTACCCAATCAGCAGTACTGGACACAAAATGGACTGTCCTGGGCGATCATGGAAGTGACCATTTGCCATTTTTGGTATTGATTTCCAAATTCAGGAAAATCAAGGCTTCAAGAGCTCATAGGCCTTTCAAGTATGAGCGGACTAACACCCTTCTGGGACTCCTCCGACAGAGGACATGTAAGGGGGCCGGCAGATCTACTTTTCTGCAGCCTCCATGGCGGACATCAGAGGTTATGGAAGTTGAAGAGAGCTGCAGTAAAGCGTTTAAAGAAAGTGCGACAGACAAACCTAAGCTAACATGAGGAGTCAGAGAGCACGGAAAGAGATAAGAAAGATAAGAGTTTTTCATGCTCTGTGCAGCAGAGGCTAAGAAAGCAAAATGGGAGCATTTTATTGCTGAGATTGGGAGCGATAAGACACTGGGAAAGTTTTGGAAGCTACATAGGCAGATGCTCAAGAAAGATCGGCCCAGCGTAGTAGGAGCAATTCATAGGGATGATGGTATGCTATTAACTACAGACAAAGAGAAGGAGGAGGCTTTATTGAATAGGTTCATTTCACAGACAGACCACAATGATGGAGAAAAGAGTAGTAGAGTTACAGAATATCTGGCAGCCATCTTAAAGAACAAACATTATAAAGACATCATACAGTTGGAAAATGTAAAAGGCGAATGACACTTCTACCGGGACCGATGGGTTAGATATTCCCACATGAAAGACATGAGTGATGCAGACCTGTAGGAGATGACAGCTTGATTCAACCAGAGTATTAGAACAGCTTCAGTCCCAGAAGAGCGGATGCACAGCTTGTCATGCCTCTCTAAATATATGCTAACAGTCCCAGCACAGAAAGATCATTAATACAACTGGCAATGATTCCCGGGCCACTTGTTAGGCCACCCCGGGCCAGATTCGGCCTGTAGGCCGCCACTTGAGTAGCCCTGCCCTAAACCATAGACCCTGACAGCAACAGACAGATGACTCACCATTTTATCCCTTAATGGAATCTGAGAGATGAGCTTCTTGTCCTCGCTAGCATCTATCTGCTCTGCCCCTAAATATAGCTCCACTTTGATGTTTGGCCCGGCCTTCACCTTCTGCAATATATGCCGCCTCACCTGCCCCACAGTTTCATTGGAATGAGACCAGATTTCCACATCGTCCCCCTGACGGTTCTGACTTGGAAATCGCACTTTCAGCAGCATCAGTTTTCCTCGGCATGCTCTGTAATCATAAAGGCTAATTGGTTCACAAATACATACTTTCTTTACATTTGATTATCGTTAGCATTCACCACCGGCTGTATAGTCCGGTGGAAAGTTCTGATTGTTCGTCCTCTTCTTTACTTAGTCTTATTCCAGAACTTGAAATTTGCGTGCACATCCGTTTTACCGGTCTGTCTTAGTTGTATACAGACCTGTTTATTCCTCGCTGTTCAGACAGATGCACCCCGACATCAGAGGGAAAAATCCATAATTAGCTTGACTTTTAGGACATGCTTGTCAGGGAGACAGTGCGTCTATTTTCTCTCGTCAACTAAACAGCAGCCCTGGAATCCACACTGAGAGTTTTCTTCACTGTAAGTAAAAGTAAAGCAAAGGTTGCTTTTCACACCTCAGGTGATGATGTTGCTAGAGTCCCAGCATTTTCCCCATGCATGCTTTTTTTAAGTGATTCCATGAGCATGCCCAAGAAGATAGAGACAGGATTGATTCGAAGAAAATGGCTGGAGTCGCTGATGAAATCTCGTCTGAAAGGAATTACTTTCATTTTTTCTGCCAGCACACTCTGGGTAAGAGGGAATGAACGAGCGGACTGGCTTGCTAGCAGGGGCCACAGTAGGGACAGGAGGAGCAATGGACCGGGCCGACATTCTCAGTGCTCTCAAGGAGGCAGGACGAGAAGATGATTCAGGAGACATCACTGCATCGACAACACTTAAAAGATTACAAAAACTTCAGGTCTAAAGAGGTGCTGCCAAACACGAACACCATACACATAGCCAAAGAAGAATAGTAAGGCGATACAGAACTGGCATTATCAGTCGCCACACGCTGCAAGATATACTGATGATGGGATCCGAGCTCTTATGGGCCTGTCCCATGTGCAATAAGGATAATCTGTTGATTAACTAACTAACCAATTAACTATTCTTTTTTTAACATTATCAGCACATCAGGTATATGGTGTTAGACCCATATTTATATTGATCAATCAGTACTTGATAGGTAATGTGGTCATGTGGTTTCCAAATACCAGACATGTTTCAGTAATTTCTAAGACCTTTCTGGAAAGGCAAAATTCAGGAGGAAGGAACCTGGCCTTTGTATATCATGAGCTGTGTACATCAAGGCAGAGCGGGGGTCAACGCGTCGAAAAGGTCAAGCCGTTTGCCTCTCGCTCTGGGGGTTCTGGGTTTTGTTTTGCGGCTGTGTCACAGGTTCACCTGTTCACAGGTATAATTTTTATAAAGATCCTGGGAGATATATACCAGAGTTGCAGAGCCCGTGCTTCGTGTGACACTCTCGGCAGGCGACTAGCCATTCTGCAGAGAGAGAGACCAAGCCATATGGGGCAAAACTCAGTGCAACAAAGATAAATTTCTCAACTAAAAACAAAAAAAACACTTCACACCGGAACAGTACTAAGCACTATGGACTACAATTATCTTTGATTTTAAACAGTATAAGGGGCGTTTATCTGAAACCTGTTACAATGACTTCACTATAAAGCATGAAAGAAACACCAACAGATGTGGCAGAACTAAACAAAGCATTCAATTTTTAATGAAATATGCACAGTGAGTTGGTCAGAAAAGTCGCTGTAGGCATTCAGGCAAGCATCCCATTGCTTAAGTAGGCAATGAATGCCAACCGAAAAAAAAAAAACTTGTGGCTGCTCATTGAACTAAGTGTTTACCATGGTCGTCCTTCTGGTGGTCAGTCAACATTTCTGGTAAAACTAAAACTTGAAAGAAAACAATTTTCATTGTTAAAAAAAACACACACAAAAAGTGTACCTGTTTAAAGGTAAAATAGTTCTTTCTTCACGATACGCTTCATCACATTCTGCCAGGTATTCCTTCAACACAGTCAAAACACGAACCATCCGTGCGGTCTCTTGCAGGACACGCTCCTTGCTGGCCGCATCTGTATCCTGACCTAAGACGCTCACTGTATCGTAGGCAGCTTTCAGTCTGTCAATACAGGACGTGATGAGGTCCTCGTGGATGGCGACTTGTTTCTGCTGAAGCCGGGGTCCTAGGTTTGTGAAAATATCTTTCAGCAGAGCAACAGCTTTCTCTGCAACATCGTCAGGACTCCATAGAACAACCTGCATAAGGAGAAGTATTATTAACATTAATACACAAAGCAGCAACAAATTAACTCATTTAATACCAGTAAAGTTTAAAAAAAAAAAAAGCACACCTTCAGGCATATAGGGCTACACCTACATTTTACAGACCAACTGACACTCGGTGGGTGATGTGGTCAACATCACGCCGGTCTCCTTTACTTTCCAGGACTGCATCTTGTTAGGCCGACCTGGGAGCCAAGACAATTTATTTTTTAGAAGTCTGGCTCCATCAGGACCTGTACCCATGACCTTCCGATCTGCAGGCTAGCGTCTAGCTGCTACACCACAGTGACCCCCACCCCTTTCCTATTTTCAGAATCAACAACATTAAAAATAAAAACTCCTGAACTGCTAAATAGCCTTCAGCTCTTTCGGGTAATAGAAGACAGTTCAGGCGATGCTAACCTTTTGAAACTAAATTGTATACTATTTAATTTTTAGGTTCTGGTATGGTAAAGGGTTTTATATTGAAGACCTTAAATTGATAAAATACTGTCAAACAGACTATGTACTTAACTGCTCCCATGGAAACCCTTAAACAAACAATGATGAGAGGAGCCAAAGGTGCTGGACTGAATGTCATCCCTGATGTCGAGAGGACTGCACAAGACAGAAAGGAACGAGTCCTATATGACAGATAACACAACATGACAATGATGATGACGATGAAGCCTGCCCTGGGGCTGATGGTCTCAAGGTACGGCATCCCCCTCAAGTGCTGGAGGTCCCGGGTTCAGGTTGGGATTTTTTCACATGGACTTCAAGCAATTTCCCCTGATCTCTGGGTAGGAAGATTGGACGCCCGTGTGTACTGTTGCGCACATAAAAAAATTAATTCTTGGCAGTTGTATATCAAAAAAGAGTAGCCTAATGGCACTGCCCCAGCAAAATTTGGTGTTAAAAATCTACCCAAAGTATTTCAAAATCCTCACCGGTGCTACAGAGTTCGTGCACAGCACTCAGATTCTTCGGATCAGGCTTGAGTTAGAAGTAGAACGGAGCACTTATGAGTTACAACCCTTGTGCCATGATGTTGATCCGTTGTTTAAACAGAACAGAACAGAGGCCTGCCTTGACATCTACGAGTCTGCTCCCTTTCAGCTGCCAGATAGGACTTACCTTCCACAAATAATCCAGGCCTATCAGCTCAAAGTCATCCATCAAATAGCCGCCACGTCTCTTGGCTATCAGCTTGTTCTCCTTCAGGTTCACCTGCTTGAAGAATCTCTCAAAGCAACTGAAAAAAAGTACACACACCAGATGACAGGTAAATCCATTTTTTTTTTTTTATTTATTTTCTAAAAAAAACACACTCCCATGATACATAGAGCGGAGGAAGCCATTACAGCACAGGGGGTAATACAACTACTTGCTGGCAATAGGTTCAAATGCCCAGTGAGGCAATTCTTTAATTTAACTGACTCATCCTAAAACAGTTGCAGGAAATGTTCTGGGAAGCAAAGGCAACCAAGCACTAGCCCTATTCCCACTGAGAGCTGTGTGGTCTATACAAAATATAGAGCTAGCACCATAATGCATCCCAGTATGCCTTAGGGGATTGAAAAGGTTATTTTTTTGTTTGTTGTAAACTCATGAATGTACACAGTGCATTGTTCTTATCTGTATTGTTCCAGTTTTTCTGTATGAACCTGTGTATTCTAGTACACAATGCTGATTCTGATGGGGGGGGGTTACCATGTACAGTCATGGGAAGTAAAGGCGGTCAGCATGATGCTGACCACATCACCCATCAAGTGCCGATTGGTCTATAAAAAATACAGGTCTAGCCCTATATTCCCAATATGCCTAAAGGTGTGGAAAAGGGACCTTTTTCACTTTAAAGTGGCAGGGTTTCATTTATGCAAAGGATGGTATTTGTGGTTTTTTGGACATTAATATGAGAGCCACACCGTGGAAGAAATGTTTCTTTATTTCCCAAAAAACAAAAAAACAATGACCTCACGGTGGTGAACATTGATTGTGGGGTAGCACAGAGTTCATGAGGCGTCAAAGCAGGTTTCCTCTTTGTAAATTTGAACAAACATGACACAAACAACAGAGGGCATAACTGATTGTGGAGAGGCACACAGTTTATGAGGTTTTAAAGTGTTTCCTCTATGTAAATTTGAAAAAAAGATGACACAAACAACAGAGGGCAAAACTGATTGTGGAGATGGCACACAGTTCATGAGGTTTTAAAGCATTGTTTTCTCTTTAAAATTTGAAGAAAAAAAGATGACACAAACAAAAGAGGGCAAAATTGATTGTGGAGCTGGCACACAGTTCATGAGGTTTTAAAGCATTGTTTCCTCTTTACAATTTGAGGGAAAAAAAGATGACACAAACAACAGAGGGCAAAATTGATTGTGGAGATGGCACACAGTTCATGAGGTTTTTAAGAGTTTCCTTTTTATAATTTGAAAAAAAGATGACACAAACAACAGAGGGCAAAACTAATTGAGAGACTGCACAGAGTTCATAAAGTTTTAAAGCATTAGACTGCACAGAGTTCATAAAGTTTTAAAGCATTGTTTCCTCTTTGTAAATGTGAACAAAGACTCCTTACCGACACCTTAACCTAACCACGCATTCGTATTGATAATATCGTGGGGAAAGGAAAACATCGGAGAGTTTGAAAATGAAAAAGAAAGAAGCTGCCTTTTTTTGAGACGATAGAAGAAGTGTAATCCGAATCCAGAATAATTGAAATTCTCATTACCATCATGCAAGAAGCAACCATCAGAAACAACGTATGCCAGCAATGAACATCAAAGATATCGGGAAGAAAAAAAAACAGGTGACACTGAAATCATTTAGAGGAAATTCTGAACAGCAATCAATTCAGAGGTCGATGAAGTAAATATTAAGATGATTAGAAGAAACTGTATAGAGAAACATTTAAAGAATTTGATTATTTTGAAACCTAAATTCATAACCGAAATATTGTGTCGTCATTATTGTTAGAAATAAACTAAATTTATGATTTACTAGATTGGCAACCATCACTAAAGAAAATTTCAAATAAATGTTCTATGAATAATTCCAAACGTTTGAAAAATTAATATCGTTTTGTTACCATGTGTTGTTAGGATAGAATAAAACCACATTATTAGTGAAAGTTTCTTGGGGGCAGTACATATAAAAGCAAGGTCACCCTAGTTAGGTAAATAGCCCACAACTTATCTCGATTATTGACGAAGAGACTAAAGCCGACCACCTAATTCCTTGCTTCAGGGTAGGAAAATTCAGAAAATTATTTCTTTTCTTCTCAGGACATTTCCCTAGAGTAGTTTCATAGTTCGAGCCATAGATTCTGATTTCTATCCTGTACTTTTGTAAAACAAAAGGGCAAAATTTACTGCGTGGCATTATTTGCCATCTTCTGCCAGGTGTATTATGGCTTTGAGTGATGCCCTTGTCAAATGACTCAACAACATGGGAGCGGTCATACCCTCAAACCACACATGCTACACTGTTTCTAAACTGTCACCACACATAACAAAGATTGATTCAGCACTCACTTCATGCCATTCTCTGTCAAACAGGTCAGGGCTCAGCTGCAGGATGTTCCTCTCAAAGAAATCTCTGGTGATTTCTGGATCAAGGTCCGGTTCTTCCCCCATCAGCTGTTGAAAATTTAAAAAAAAATTTTAATAAATAAATGTCACTACTATTTATCTATATGGGAGTAATTATTGCAGCATTGTGGTAAACACAACCTGTCATAGAATTTAAATCCCACTGTGGTAGAAAGGTGTAAAGTAGGGAGATGTGAACAAGCGTCACTGCACACAGTTATCAACCATAAGTGCTCTGCCACCAGTACGGACAGCTGATAAGAAACTGTCTGCCTGTGTCGCTGTCCAGACGTAACTCTGTAGCTACAGCGACATTCCTCCATTTACCCAAGAGTGTCACTCTGATACCCATTTCCTAGAGGCTGGGTGAACCTCAGGAACCACCCGGTTTCGAATACCGACCGTGGCTGCGAGTAGCAGCTGGATTTGAAAGCGAGCCTCCTATTGACTGCGCTAACGTGGCCCTGTGTGTGGTAGATTTTTGACATTCATTTGGAAATCCTCATAATGCAGGTTAACATACTTGTCTGGTTATTGGTGTCTGTGACTTAGGCATTGCAAACGCGCTTTTTAATGCCAGAGTACCAGGTTCGATCCCCTGCAGGCAATCTGGCAGCAGATCACCCTTCATTGGTTTTGACAATGGTATCAAGAGCTGACTGTTCAGGAAGCAATGGCAAAGTGATCTGCCGACTGAATGAAGAAGTCACCTGCAAAAGTATTATGCGACGCAGTACTAAATAAGTGTGTTTAATCATCCTTTCGTATTAACAGCTACCCTAGAAAGTTGTTTTCTCAAATGAGGAGAAGCAGATTCATGATCAGTAAACAGTTTTGATCAGCTGTTTGTGTTGACAACATTTTTGTCCATCTTGGAGTTCTTGCTTTCCTCATGTGTGTACATCAAGAAGTTATGTCAGCACTGAGTCAACTAATTAGTGCATTACACCTGGTGTGAACGAATCCTGATTGTTAAACATATTCTTCCAGTTCCCCACGTGGGTTCTAGGTCCCTGTTATAGGGAAAACAAGATAAGACCCAATGCCTGCCCAAAAGCATGTTGTAAGAGTAGACTAATTGGGAGCTGCCTTCAAAGTCAGAGTGCATCTGCCTGAGAGTCAAGGAACCAACAGTTTGCATACAAATTAGTCAGATCTGTAAAATGGATGCACACGCGGCACTCAAGTTCTGGAACAGGACTGCAGTCCAGGAGTGGACGAACAATCAAAACTTTCCACAGAGTTTACAGCTGGTGAACGCGAAGAAGAAGAAGACCCAACCATGTATAATTTCTTCTTCATTCATGCTTCTCTAGAATTAAATAAACAGGCAAATAAACCAAAGTTGTGGTTACTCAGTGACAAGTCTCAGAAACACAGAAAAACACAGAATCAAACACACTAAAATTACTTTGGCAAACCACTTGAAACACGCCTCTCTGTCCGAGGGATAGATAGCATTCTCAGCCAAGCAGTGCCATATCTAAGGAAGAAAAATTACAAAGTGGCAACACTGTGTTAAGATACACTCACACAAAAACTTTAATGTAGAATAAACAAAAATAATAATATTATTAGCTGTAAAGACAATTATCTGTATCAGAGCCATTTAGCCCCCTCCCCACCTTTTACTTACCTACCCACCCACTCGCATGCACGCACACACAATTACACAGCGTTGTAGCCACAGCGGTGTAGCAGCTAGGCACTCGCTTCCAACCTAAAAGTTATCGGTTCAGATTTTTCTTTTTAAATGATCTTGGCCTCCGAATCAACCCAGCATAAAATGGGTACTAGGTAAAAGCCTGGGAAGTAAAGGTGGCTAGATTATGCTGACCACAAAGCCCATCGAGTATTCTAAAATATGCATAAAATATGTATAATATGTCTGATATGCCACTGGCGTAAAAAGGGTCCTTGTCATTAGTTACTTAATTACAGAGACTTAAAATATTTAAACAAAACTTTTGAAGTGCAAGAGAATGAGAAAGTCAGAAGATACACAGAGAGAGACGAAACAGTTCTCTACAGAAAAAAAATATATATATATAAACAGAAAAACAAAAAGAGTCAGACAGAAAGAGACTTCAGAATGACAGATAATTCAAAGAGAGAAAGAGAGGGGGAGAGCCAGTTCCCTACACAAAGCATCAGAAACAAACATAAGAACAAGGAGTAAGAGAAGGACAAAAAAGGTTATTCGGGAGAACAACACACACATACATGCAAGAACGGGGGGGGGGGGGGGGGGGGGCAAGCTGGTTCCCGCCACATGAGTAAGATGTGGGAAAAAAACAAGGAGTAAGAGAGTGACAGAGAAAGGAGAATCTCTCTCATACTCTCTCTATAAATTCTCCCCTCCCACACATGCACACGCGCACACACACACACACACAGAGGCAGACTAAGAGACAGCCAGATCATTAGATACAGACACAAAGACAAAGCTAGAGACAGAAAGAGACAGGAGAATAACAAGACAGGCAGGCAGACAGCCAGTCAGGTACAGCGCTAGACCACGCATGCGCGCACACACACACACACACACACACACAACAGGCAGAGAGAAGCAAAAAGAGAGTGAGGATATATATAAAGTGAGACATGACAAACGGAGAGACAGAAAGAGAGGGGACGAAGAAGGAAACAGTCCAAAATTTCCGGGAGTGTTTGTAACTAATACCTGTCTAGCTTGAGCCTCACAAAGCCACAGCTGCCCATCTTTCAGCAGGAATCTACAGATTAATCCAAAAAAAAACATAAACAAGACTTCCAACAATCATAGTTATCAGTTACATTTTAGTATTTCCCTGTGTGGGTTCCAGGGCCCCACTGTGGAGGTGAAAGAATAGACTCTCTGCCCCCAGCAAGCATGTCCTAAAAGGCGAGTAACTGGGAAGATTTCTTTCAAAGTCGGAGTCTATTTGCCTGAGAAGAGAGGAACCTACAGTCTGCATATAAATGAATATAAATGTTTCGTCTCTGTAAAACGGATGTACAAGCAAAACCCACATCCTGGAACAAGACCAAAGTTCAGAAATGGACAAACAACTAGAACTTTCCACCAGAGTTAATAGTCTGTGAAGGCTAAGAACAAGACAGCACTGAAAGAAAAGGAGGGGGGGGGGGGAATGTTGCTAACTAAAAGTTAAGTAAACGACCCTGAAAAGGTTGAGTGTGCTCAAGCTGTGTAATGTGTAGATTTAGAAGGGGGAAAAAATATTAACAAAACACTTCCTTTCAAGACTAGGAATATTTTGCTGATATGGTCTTTCTTCTTTTGTCTTACTGCTTGAGTCATAAAGAGTCAAAGAGAGGAGTTTGATGTAGTTTCCTTTAATTCTGATCTTCCTCTCTTCTCATCTCGAGCATGTGCGCTTGAACAATTTAAACCTTTAACTAGGCCTGTCCTAGAATCCTTTCTAACTGCACCATTTATCGAACATTAACACTTTTATTCTACTTTGAAAACACAAAGGAAACGCTTGACTTGTTTACACCGCCACCTTGAATCATCTTTGGTGATACGACAGTGGCCCTAAATTTGTAGACCAACCTGCACTTGGTATGTCAAACTGGCAGTATTACATTTGTTTGTGGCCCATACAGCACCAGCCGACTTTAATATGGGTCTCATCTTTTGACGTCCATCTTAGGCCAGGTTGACAAAAAGCCCAGGTATATTTATTTATTTTTCAAATAAAAAAAATTAATTTAAACTTATGACAAAGTGGTCATCACAAGCACTACTTCTCAGAAGATCAGCTACAAGAGCAAAACGATGGCCGCGAAAAATGTGGATCGACAACATTAAAGACACTCTACGCCTTCACGGCATGACAACTAACAGTGGCAGCCAGCGTGCACTGGATCGCAAATTATTCCTCCCCACGCCACTTAATGGCAAAAGTGGTTTATGATGATGATGATGATAATGATGACAAAGTGGTACGAGTCTGGTCCCCTATAATGAAGGCTGGCTACAGTATACTGTCTCTGGCAGTAGTGCACACTCAGGCCTCAATCTCTTCCAGGGCGCGACCTTCATACCACCTTCCAAAAACCAAAAAACCAAAGTAAGTGTTTTTTTTTAAAAAAAAACATCTTTTATTTTCGGTCTGGCACGGAAATTGTTAAATTCATTAACTAATCTCTAATCCACTTGTCCAGTAACGTCTAGTATGTTCAATAAGATCCAGTAACACCCAGTAACAATACAATAGTAACATATACTGAACAATTCCAATGTGCAAAATAAATCCACAGAAAAACAAAATAGAAAGCCATATAAGCAAAAGTAGATAAATAAAAACTGGCAGGATGCAAATCCACTTTCCAAAAGCCCTACCTGAGAAACCTAAGCCTTTCAGCCACTTGCATGTTGTGGTTAAACCGACCATCTGGAAGAATGGTAGTTGGATCTTCATTTGGGTGCGCTGTAAATTATGTTGGGGGCAAAAAAAATTTCATAAGACATTATATTTACTATCATTAAAATAAATTCAGTGGTTATGAAAAAACATAAATCTGAAAAAATATTTATCACAGCTGGCTCTTTGACCCCAGTAAAATAACCAGGTTCAAGTTCTTCAAGTTATTAAAATAAAAACTGCTCCACCCTCTCACGCACATAAATACAATGAGAGAGAAAGATAGGTAGACATACAAATATAGAGAACAAAGAGAGAGAGAGGGAGGGAGGGAGGGAGGGAGGGAGAGAGAGAGAGAGAGAGGAGAGAGAGAGAGAGAGAGAGAGAGAGAAAGAGAGAGAGAGGGGGAGGGGGGGAAGGGACATGAGAGATAGAGGAGGTTCTCTTTTCCTCCATTTCTCTTCTAGACACTCCACACACAAAAATTTCCTTTCTCAGCCCACAATTAGCTAACAATCCCTGACCATATCAACTGATCAATCAACTTGTTCCATCCAAACTCCTTCTAAGAGTTCAAAATACCATCTATGTAAGGAATGTTCGTGCGCTTTTTTCCAACGCACTGTACAGGCTGGTGTTCATTTCTGTTAGGTTGCTCCTTATGGTATTGCTCCATATCTTTCGTGGTGTCCCCATTGCTCTGTGTTCATTATATTTCTTCAGCGTGGCTCTTTGTGGCAGCTGGTACCAGGGCATTCTCGTCAGGTGGCCAAACGATCTCATGTTTTGTCCTTTAATGAACTTTATGACTGGTTTCAGTCCTAGTCTTCTTCCAATTTCTTCACTCCTGATTTTAACTCTTTTTGTCACACCGGCAGCTCTCCTAAGACATCTCATTTCTGTTACAATCTTCCTCTCATTAGCTGTAGTAAGGGTCTGTGTTTGGCACATCATCATCATCATCATGTGTCTTGGTGACTGGCGTAGGCGATCATGCCTCTCCACAATCTACGATCTCCTGCAGCATGTATCAGTTCGTGTGCTAACACAACTTCATGCCATGCAACAAGACTGTCAAGAATCTTCTCTCGTTGTCTTCCCCTATCCCTCCTTCCACAGATCTTTACAGTGGTCACAACATGTTCCATTTTCCCTCTTCTCATAACATGGCCGAAAAATTATGGCTGCCTCCTTCGGATGTCTGTGATAAGTTGTCTGGCACATACACCTTAAAAAACAAAATGAACAAGCAGTAAAAAGCTGAATACAGCCTCACCTTCTGCATAAGTTCTCATCTTGTTCATGTAAGCTGAGAGATTCCCGGACACCAGGACAACAATGGAATGCTGGCTCTGAAGCTGCCCGATCACTGTGTTGCGGTAATACATGTGAGCTCCCCTCTGGGTGTGGGCTGGGTAATTCTGTGGTGCCTGGTGGGAGTGACAATAAATAGTATACATCATTGCCGCCACTGCCGTGCCCAATGGCGTGGGTGATCATGCCTCTTCGCAACCTGCGATCTCTGACAGCATGTATCAACAATTATTACATCTTGAAATATGTAAACATGTCATCTTCTTCGTCTTCCTCTTCTTAATCTTTAGTCCTGTTCGGCCTTTCAGCACTGCAATTTGAAGAGGCATCAGGTACGTTATTAGTCTGATTTCTCTTCTTATTGTTTCTTCCAGCAAGATTTAATCCACTGCCGGCTTGCTAGACTTGAGGGAGTATTTAACCAGATAGGAGGCTCAGCGGTTTCTCGGTTTAGTGTCCACCTCAAGTGCTGAAGTACCGGTTTCAGGCCCTGGTGAAGGCTGGGATTTTTAAACGTGGACTTATAGTAATTTCCCATGGTCTCTGGGTAGTAAGATCAGATACCCGTCTGTACTGTTGCGCACATAAACAATCCCTTGGCCGTTGGAAATCGAAAAGAGTAGCCTAACGGCGCTGCCCCGGCAAAATTTTGAGTTTGTTCACCTGGTTTACAGCACAGCTTAATCTTCTATCCCTTGATACTTATCATGGATTGCACTCTTTGGAGATCAACAGGGAACAGCCCTTAGTCTAAATAAGCACAAATTGGGAGGGAAATGTTATTTCAAACACAAGACAGTTAAAAAAAATCAGATTTAAAGGAGAATATGTACTGGATCCAAACCCATCACCTTAGTAGGGGTAGGGTTGCCTGGCTGAAGTAACATGAATATTCAAAACTTGACCAACCAGATATAATACCTTTGAAAACATCATCAGCAGTCAGGTCCGTGATCTACTGAACACACTACTCAAAGGGGCACAGGAACAAACACGGGGAAAAAGGAAGAAATAAATGTGGAGAAATAAATGTCAGAGAAGCTGTCAGTCCTAGAATAATAATAACAGCGTCATTTAGAACAGCGAAACAGAAGGTGAACAAGTTGGTAATAGAGTGTTATGCACCAACAAATTATAAGGTAGTCCAGTCCACACTGAGGGAAACAAACCGACATTGATTCTGAAAGCTAACTGCAACACGTCAAATCATCGCTTCAGCCTGTCCAACTGCAGCAGTCTACTAACACAATCTAATGAGCAGCAATATCATTTCTGCTTAAAATATTAAGGTGACATCACAAATAAACCTCTTAAAAACTGCACACATTTACTAGATCAACGGTTCTCAACCTGTGGGTCGCAACTCTATCACAAGGGTCGCCAAAGACCTTTGGAAAACACTTATACACTGAAGTTATGAAGTAGCAATGAAAATAACTGTATGGTTGGGTGTCATCACAACATGAGGAACTGTATTAAACGGTTGCGGAATCAGGAAGATGGAGAACCACTGTACTAGATGAATGTACACACAGGTAACTCTCACCTCAGGGAAAAGTGTACAGATCTCTTTAATCTGCTTCAGTGCTGGCAGGACCCACTTGTCATTTTTCAACTCCTCGACAAACTTTGAGATCCACTGTTGCTTCTGAGCATCTCGATCCTGCAAAGATAATTTATCAAAATAAACATAATTACATTCTTCACAATCTGATTAGCCTTATCATGTTTCTTTTCTCCACATAAAAAAATTTTTTTTAGTAAACTTATTCTGTGAGCCGTAGAAGTTAACCAGATACAGATCGCAGACTTCAAATTCAAACCCGAATGAAGAACTATTTTTTTGACAGTCTTTTATAATGTACTAGATTTAACTTCCCAGGCTTCGCCCGGAATAGTGAAAAAAAGTCCTATTATTGTTATTCTCCAGCCCTCTACCTCATCTTGATCTCCACCGCTGCCCTACATATAAGCCTAGTGGAATCAAACACCCTAATTATAACCTACAAACACAGGTTGAATAGGGTCAACTCACAGGAAAAGTCTAAGGGATATAACTACAGCTAAAGTTTACTTTTACTGATTGTCGCAATAAATAATACGCACAATAACCTAGGCCATCAATGTGACTGTGACTGTTAAATTACACTGTAGTCAAAATGACAAATAAAAATTTAACCCGTATACTGGTCATGGTTTGAGAGGAGTTTACACTTCATTAATGATAAACACACGAAGTACAGAAATGGTTTGTGATTCACAGTATAAATACAAAAGATATTTAACAGATTAATCAAGCATATATTACTGTACCAGCGCAGCAACCAGCATGAGGTAAACCAAGCACTATCAACAATCAGCTAAAACCCACATATACTGATACTAAGAGAACTGGACCAGACCAGACCCAAAACCCCAAGTACCACACAGGACTTAGGAAGACAAAGAACAGGAATATCAGCTGTGACTTCACACCGCAAATAATAGGACCCAAATAAGATGGCCAAGGAACCTTCCTTCATATAGGAGGCCTCCGGGCGGCTATAAAAGGATCAAATTTGGAATTTTTGTTGGACAATTGGAGTTGCAAACAGATGTAAAACACTTTTTAAGTTGTGTATCATATCTAGTCATCTCCTTGTGAGATGCAATTTTTCATTATTTGAAGCCCTACTCTGGCTCTTGCCAGGGGCCGCAATATAGCCCGGCCATAAATGTGGTCTTTCTGGGAACTCTCCACGGGTGATCCTCATCCACATGGTGGCACTTTGTGTCATCGGGTGTTTATCGCTCGTGTGATGTCCTGGTGGGGTAAAAATCTACTACTACAACTACTTTTTAAGTAACTAAAATATCCTGTGAGCCAAAGAAGTTTATCAGATATGGATCACACAGACTTATAAGAGTAACAATCATAACTTAATCTCAGAGGAAGAACTATTTTCTTGACACAGATGGATCGCACAGACTTATAAAAGAAACAATCTAATTCAACCCCAGATGAAGAACTATGTTCCTGATGCAATCGTTTACTAAGTATACAAGTACAAGGGATATACTACAGATATTTTGCACTAAGGTTTGCAGCTAGGCTGTGATATTGACCCCTTTTGACTCGCAACAGTGGAACATAATGTCATAATTCTAGCTTATGTAAAGTACTATTATCCCTATTCCAAATTCCAAGTCACCATTTTGGTTCCTGGACACCTGTGAGTGTGTGTGTGGTGGGGGGGGGGGGGGGGGGGGGGGGACAGATCCACGTCCGACTATCAAGCATGTCACAAAAACTGGACTAATTAGGGATTTTTCTTTAAAGTCGGATTGCATCAGCCTGGGAGACGAGGAACCAACAGCATGCATACAAATAAGCCTGATCTGTTAAACAGATGTGAATGCAAATTTTCTGGAACAAGACTAAAGGTCAGAAGTGGGGGAACAACCAGAACTTTCCGCAGGTGAATGCTAAGAAAAAGAGAACATTCTAACAGCAAAACCTGCCACAAGACAACATGTTACACAGTGCGATAAAGCCAGACTCACCTGGGAGCAACTGTAATCCAGAATCTTGTAATGAGCACTCAGTGCCTGGTCCATGATGTCTGTGGGCACATCATCACTATGTGCCAAGTTCCACAGCAAAGTTAATACCTGCAGGAAAAAAATTCAAAACAGTTTAGCCAACAAGCATTAAAAAAAAAAACTATTGAAATTTAACTTCTAGGATGCGGTTCTAACTTTTTCATTATTTGTGTTTTAAGGTGCAGCTGTACTGTGTCTATTTACTTTATCATTGTAGCAGGTCATTAACAGAATATCACTCCTATTGTTTATTCTTATAGCCCACTTCATCTGGCATTGATAGTCATGTCTATCCACAACCTTCTGTCCCATGCCATGATGTCAAAATTTCTAAAGTCTTTTCTGTCTGTCTCCCTCTGCCTCTTGTTTTTCTCCCTCACACTTCCCACCGCCACGATGCACTCCAGTTTTCTCCTTCTCATGACATGACCAAACAATGCAGATTGGTCGTCTCCTGATGTGGGCAGTAAGGTCTCTACATGAGCCAGTTTCTATCAAGACATCTTCATTACTCTTGTTATCTGTCCAGGGTATTATCCTGTTGCAGGTTCTTTATAGAATATTAGTCCTGTCACAGTCCACCAGAAAGACACCCAGCCCCTGGCCAGCTCTCTCACCTCATGCTCTTTCTCAGTACCATGCCCTCTATTTCTGTTCTTTCTAAGCCATTATGATGACGTTTGCTATAAAAGGTATTTCAGTTTCTGAGACAAGGTGCTGTTTATGAGCTGTTTCCTCTGATACTCAGTTCAAGCATTACTTTTCACACAACGATACATTTTCATGTGCTCCTTTGCAAAAGCAAATTATTAAAACTAAATTTTCTCAAACTAAGGATTCAGCCTTTAGGCAATTTTGACGTAGTTTCCATAAATAATACTTCTAGAGAAAAGCTAAAAATCTGTTAATCACACCATATACATCCAGTGCACTTTACAAGACAGGACACAAGACATGCACAGAACACTGTGAAATAGGCAACACAAAATGCCTTCCAAACAACAAAAAACAGGCTGACGATAAGCATGAGACATTTACCTTGTTAGCCATAACGCCTTCCTTGTCGTCCTCTGCCAGACGTCGTATCAACTCCAACAGTTTCTCTCTTTGTTTTTTGCTAGCATGGTGCCAGGATCCCTGAAATAATAACAACAGCAAATCAAGATAATTCATACTGCTATAATAGTGTTGTCTCCCCCCCCCCCCCCCCCCCCCCCCCCCCCAACCACACAAAATAAAACCTAAACCTGACAATATGCAATAGGATTCTGGTACAAAGCCAGTGAAAATAAAGAAGAAGAAGAAGACTGTCAGCCAGACAGACAGATCTCAATCATCAGCTGAAACATGACAAAACTGGGTTGATTTCTACCCACATCTGATGTTCGGTCCTAAAAGGACAGTTAGCATGTTGTGCTGTGGTTTACAGCTAGGATGTTATTTGTGCCTTTTTGGCACAACACTCCACCTCTTCCCCTTCCACAAACTCTGACCTCAGAAACCACACCAAGATCAACTGTAACAACCCCTAATATTGAGATGAAAACTGATCTTACCTGAAAGCAATCAAAGAGATGATCCAGCTGTTCTGGAGTAAAATCCCATGCCAATTTGGCCAGCAGGTCATGAACATTCTTCACGATTGCATCATGCTTCCCTGACTGAAGACAAAGAGATCAAGGTAAATATCACTGCAAATACAGCTAAATGGTTTTTTTTTTTAAACTCTTTTCAAATTTAGAATCATCTACACACATATTTATATAGACAAACTTGCATTTGATGAGTGATGTCGTCAATACGACTATCAGATTTGTGTAGGATTCTAATCACTTTAGGTCGTGAGTGCAGGAACTGGGCAGCAGGTGCTGCAGAGTCAGTTCAACAAATGATTCATGGTAATTCCTAACAGGTGATGTGATTATCTATACAGATGGCTCTGTGTTGAGAGGCAGTGAAAGTGCATGGGGGTTCATAGCAAAAGCGAATGGACCTCATTCAGTGCAGCAAAGCCTGGCATGTGATATCACATCTAGTTTGAGAATGAAGGTGGGGGCAGTCACTGCTGCTTTACACTGGCTTAAGAATCAGCTGTACACGAGTTATAACTGCAAGTGACTCACAGAGCATGTTGATAAAGGTGAAGACAGGCATGCATCGTGTGGAGTGGCAAGCATCGCTTTGGAGTTTCAAGGTAGTTGGCGTCCTTTGGATAATCTTCGCCAGGTCATGGGAAATGAGCAGGCTGGTAGATTTACCTATTCTGTACCACTTGGTGGTAAATAGATGTATGACAAGCTAGATGTTGTGAGGGCCCTTTGAGAGCGAGTGAATAGTGCGGAGGCATAAACAGATTATGGTCTGAGGAGAATGGCCCTGCCAGGAGTTACCAAGGGATCTGGCCAGCGCTCAACACTCAGGGAAAAGGCGAGATGGATATGCCATCACACAGCTACTGATGTCATTAGAACTGGAACTCTTCGCTTCCTGCTGAAGATGGGGATGGAGCGCTTATGGGAGTGTCCCAAGTGCTGTCATGTCGATTCTTAATTCAACACTGTCATAAATACCAGAAAGGTTGCTTCAACTTCCTAGAAAATGCCCTCTACCTATTTCAACCTACGAACCCAGATCAATTACAAAAATCAACCTCAATGCAGATTCGAACCCAAGATCTTCAGGCCAGAAGGCCAGCATACAGTTATAGTTCTCCCATGGCTCCCATTGCTATAAATATCAAATACATAGTTGTAATTGTTTCATTCTTCTTCTTCTTCGCATTCACTGGCTGTAAACTCCGGCAGAAAGTTCTGGTCGCTCATCTGCCTCTAGACTTTAGTCTTGTTCTGGGTCACAAAAATGGCCTAGCAATAGATATGGCCACAAAGGCTGAAAGGGTTTTCTGGGACCTCTCCACAGGTGATCCTCATCCACATGGTGGCACTTGGTGTCACCGGGTGTTTATCGCTTGTGTGCTGTCCTGGTGGGGTACAACTACCTGCCTACTGCTAGACTACAATATATCTGCCCCCTTTTGGTCGAACACAGCCAATTTCAGCAAATCTTTCGCCTTTTACAACGAGCTGGTTAGGGCAATGTCATTTTCTGATGTAGGCAGGGAGATATTTGAGTCTGAGGATTGAGGGCCATATGGCTAGTTAGGATTTTATTTCTGCCTCTGACAGAAACAAAATATCCATAACCTTACCCATGATTCAAACCTGGGTTTCCCGCATGAGAGGCCAGCAGCTCCTGTTAAGGTATAGTGAGTTTTTGTTTGTGCGTGTCCGTGAACGTGTCTGTGTTTGTGCATGCGGGAGCGCGCGCACGCCGCAAAGCGGGGTCATGGAACCCACATGCGAAACATGGGAATTTTAATCTCTCAGCAACAAAATATGAGACTGCAAACACCGATTCACCCATGCTTATGAGGATACCATATGAAGATGACTGCAGTGGCAACTGCTGTTACACGAATACTTAAGCTAATAAAGCAATGAATGTCACAAGTTCCATCCAAATGAAAATACCTGAGCATCCCACAGTCTGTCCAAGTCCTCCACTGTCAAAGCTCGCTCCTTGATCATAAAACGGAGAATCTTCTCCAGTTTTTCAACATACTGCGGCTGATGTAAGCTGTCCTTCAGTACAATGCTCAAGACATTATTCTGTTGAATCCACTCCTGGTAGTATTGAAAAAAAAAAAAATGTAATTACAAAACAAAAACAAAATACCAAAGTTACCGCAATCACCTTACAATAAAATGTTTTATGTCATATATAGGAACACCTTCATCTAATGTTGAAAACCTATTTTTTAAAATTATTTTTTAAACACACAAACTTGCATACACACGCATATATATATATATATATATATATATATATATATATATATATATATATATATATATATATATATATATATATATATATATATATATATATATATATATATAATTAAATATATATAATTATAGCGCCATCATTGAAGTATATTCACATACCCTTAATAATCATTAACTCACACACACACAAAATACCCTTCTGTTATGTCATTTACACACTGATCATTAGGGTAGCCCAGGAAGATTACAGCCTCCTTCAATGATTACAAAAGTTACCAGTGTACAAACTACAAAATTTACCCCTGACACTGAAGTACATACAGACTATAAAAGTTACTAACAAAACATATATTCCAAACATCCTACAGGCTACAATAGTTACCCATGAAACATACATAGCAAATTCTATAAAATATAAAAGTTACCTGTGAAAATTACATTAAAGACTATAAAAGTTACCCATATAACTTACAGTTGGATATAAAAGTACCACATAAAACCTACAGTAACAACTATAAAAGTTACCCATAAAACTTAAATCCTAGCTGTTGTGCTTACTATGAGAGGTCACCCATGAAAATTACAAACTCTAGTACTGATCATGAAAAACAAACAGAAAACATACCGCCATCTTATCTGCCGTGAGCCACTCATCCTCATCAACGCTCGAGTGTCGACTGCTGCCCTGGAAACTGACACTGCCTAGCACTTTGTTCACTTCATTCAGTGCGTTCATCTTTCCATTGAATGACGATATCTGTAGCAACCTGTTAGTTACAAAGAAAGGTAGTATCAATGTTAAAGCCAAATCAGTACTACTTGTGGGTCAGAAACATCAATGACAAATACACTTATTAATAAATTACAAACAAAACTGCTGATAGAAAAGTCTGGTAATCTCTCGGGCAAACCTCTACATCCCAAGACAGAAGTGGAGCAATGAAGTAAGTAATAAATTATAAACATTTATTTACAAAATATACTAAAGACATAGAACAACAGTTAAATGCGTTTGAAAACAAATGCCTGCGGAAAATGATGGACAAAAATGGGATGATTACAAGAAGAGTGAAGAAATAAGAGATATGTAAACAGTTATAACACAGAGAAGATGGCGGTATATTGGACACATTCTGAGAAGAGATGAAGAGAGAATCACCACACAAGCACTGACATGGGAAATGGATGGAGTGAGGAAACAAGGACATCCAAGAGAAACCCTATGGCAAAGGATGACGAGAGAAGCCAAAGATGCTGGACTGGATTCCATCTATGACAGTGAAGTGATTGTAGAGGGTAGAATGGAACGGAGAAACAGACTGCGAGCCCTATGTGACACAATGAGACACCAGGAAATTGAATGAATGAATGAATACACACAACGTACATAAGACCTTTCGTACTTCTGCACAGGGCAAACATCATGCTCATGTGCGTTTATGGGAAGAGAGAATCTGTGTATTAGGTAGCAGTCAACGGAAATCTGTAGTCTGCCCTTATTTAACCCTTTTGCCCTGTAAGGATCTTTACAACAACTGACTTTTTCGCAAAGCATGTCACAAAGGAATTCTTTGAAACCATAGCGTAAGAAACTAAATGAAGAGGAGATGAAGAAGCATAAGAAATTCAGAGTCATGATCAAGAGAGAAGAGAGGCAAGCGAGCTAGTCACTTGCAATATCCCGGCCCCTAAGTTGTTGTTTTTTTCGAAAGGAAGATACGAGTGTTGGAAATGCAATGTTTCAGAAAAATTATTGGCATATCATACAGAGATCACATTACAAACGAAGAGGTTCGCCATAAAACTATACAGCACACTGGCAACTATGAACCTCTTTTAACTACAGTAAAAATGCAATGGTATGGACTTGTAATAAGATCTAACGGCCTCTCAAAAACAATATTGCAGGGCTCAGCAGAGGGAGAGAGGCTAACCATGAAAGAATATGTTCGCAGAACATGGCTGACTGGACAGACCTCAGGCATGCAACCATCAAGTCCATCGCAACTGACCGCCAAAGGTGGAGAGAGCTGATCAGACAGTCAACAGAAACTGGTGACCCAACGACATGTAGTGTTACTGGTATAGCAACACCTGAAGGAAAGCAATCAACAAACACAAATGGAGCTGTCTTATGCTTGTCTATGCTACTGGATTTGCTGAGACCGCAGTCTGTGTCAGGTTTTCACAAGGGCCAGCAATCAATATTCCGTGTGGTTTTCGCTGGCACAGGAACAGAGCAACAATGGGATGTCACATTTGCAAAAAAAAAGCTGGAACTGTGATTACCTGATTATCAGAGCTGAGAATTAACCAACACTAAGTTTCAGACAAATTCCAATGAATCAAAAGGTGAAGAAAAGATAGTGATGCTGGAGAGGACACACAGAGAAAACATGGCAATAATTACTTTGTCCTGCAGGGCAAGAGAGATAGAAGATGATCTAAAAAAGAAATGGGAAAGAAAATTTGAAGTCAGATGAACAATCTGAGCAGGATGTGGAGTGACTACTTCATCACAAATAGGTCTCTGCATAATTGCTTTGTTTCTGTGCCAATTAAAACCACACAAAATATCTATCACTGTCACATGTGAATGTCAAACAGACAACAACTCACATATATATAAACTGCATAAGGCAGCCACCAGAGGTGCCAACACCAACAATCTGTCATAAAAATTGCAATGTATAGTTTATGGAAGATGTCTGAGCTGCACAAGATGGCACATGGTAGGGTAGGATAGCCATGAGCTGGTGGAGGGTCTATGCTTCAATGTGGTATAAAGGGCATACACAAAATTAGGCTTAGTAATAGAATAGTGTGATGAGCTCATCAACAACGTCAGCCACCAAGAGCAACAACTTGACAAAACCAGACTTCATACATTTACCTGAGAATCATTTTCAGTCGGAAAATTTCCAGATTTTTAATAACTTCTTCCTGATTGGGCAGTCTACTGGCCAGCTGTTTCAAAGCCCTGATGATGGACGACAGAGCATCATTCTTAGCCTCAGTTTTGGATTCTCGTTTCAGCTCTTCATCTGTCAGCTTGTCCAGGAATTTTGGGACAACATCCTTCGAAGAGACAGGGTAAAACAAATTAGGGGGTGAAACCTTGAAATGCTACGCTAGTGGACTTTTCTAATTAAGTAAAACCTGTTGTAAATCACTGTTGAAAATCTTTGAAAACAAAGTCTTATGACGAATCTTTGGACCCACCAAAGAAACAAACAGCGGGGAATGGAGAATGAAAAGCAATAACAAAATTCATAATCTCTTTAACTCACCAGTGATCACCCTCAAAAGGGTCACGACCCACAGGTTGATAACCGCTGGCCTAGTTCCTGAACTTGAGTTTGGGGTTGCACACCCATTTTACAGATCTGACTTATTTGTATGCAGACTGTTGGTTCCTTGCCTCTCAGGCAGATGAACACCTACCTCGAAGGAAGCACTTTTAATTAGTCACATTACATGGCACACTTGTTATGGAGAAGGGGGTCTATTATTTTTCCCACCCAGTACCCATATGTCATAATATGTCTGTAACATTAGTTAGAATTCCAATGAGATCACAGGCTCATGGTATAAGTCACACTCAATACATGTTTTTAGGCTCCAAAGAATGTATTCCATGTTAATGCTTCACTCCATTTCTGTTTACTGATCACTCCATCAAAATATTTTAAAAACATATTGTCACCAAACTATGAATGAAAAATATTAAAAACATGCAGCCAACTATTTTGTGTAAATGTATTTGTGGCCTGTGTCAATTTTTAGTTTTAAAGTGTTTTTTTTTTTGGGGGGGGGGGGGGGGGGGGGGGGGGGATCCTGGGAGAATTCCCATGGGATCCTGACTTTTTCATCAGTGCTTCCGGGCAAAAGGGTTAATGATGATGACAATTTCCTTTATTCTTTAAAAAAAAAAATTTTTTAAACTGTCAGATACTCACCACAATAGGCATGAAGTACTTTTCTACTGTGTGTGGTGTGAGAACTTCACTACACATACCAAAGGGCCTGAAACACAGAGGGAGAGACACTATAAAAAATTTAAAAACTTAGCACTCTCAGGAACCACAATAGCCACTTATTATAGTCCACGCCATGGGGTGTTGGTAATCCTATACTGTCCAGAGCCGTCTGTTTTGTGTGCGAATAGTCATCTCTAAAACAGATGTTTGTCCATGCCATGAGGCTGAACTGCCCAATTAATTCTCTTGTCCCCAACAACAATACAATTGTCAGATAGGAAGTGTGAACAAGGCACAGTACTTGAAATTCAGAGCAGGTCAATGAACAAGGCAGTCAAAATCACAGAATTTTAAATTCACAGTAGGCCAATGAACAAGGTGGGTGCTTTCTTAATATCCTACCCCAAACAGGGGAAATCCACAGGTCAAGGGACAGTCTAATATTTTGGGGGATGGTAGATAGGCTGCATGCAATCGTGGGACCTAGGCTGCAGGCAGTCGTGGGATGTAGGTGGATTGGAGTTAGGGCCAGTTCTAGATGTTTTGGGGTCGTTTAAAGCATCTAAAAAATGTTGGACTGTCCTGTGACGTTATCTGGGGTAGGATATTGCGAAAGAACCGGCAGTCACATACACAGAACTTGAAATTCAGAGCAGGCCAATGAACAAGGCAGTCCAAAATAAATCACAAAACTTGAAAATCAGAGCAGTCCAATGAACAAGGCAGTCAAAATCACAAAACTTGAAATTCTGAGTAGGTCAATGAAATAGCAGCCAAAATCACAGATCCTCTGTAATGTGAAGGACTGTTTTCTATCAAGGGCAAAAGTAAAATCCTAACCTGCAGTCTGTCATGGTGACTGCACTAGCAATGCTGCCCTAACTCCTCAGGCTCACAATCCCTCTGTCCTACACCACCCTCCAGTAGTACATACAGACATTAAAGATAGTTTTTTTTTTTTTTTTGTATATTATCTTTATATATATGAAAAGTTATGATAAATCAATGCTTAGTAATGATCCTTCTATCTTTCTCTTGTGTAGTCAATAGCACAAACACCAAACGTTGTTAACAGAACTTACACACTCATCCCCACACATGATCACAGCGCAAAATGAATTCAACTTACTTGACCAGATTTGCAACTACAGGAACTGAGAGTGGTGGCCCATTGAAGAACCTCTCTTGTAGAATCTTAAACCCATCCAGCTTTCCAAAATGGTTCACCAAATCTACAAGCCAGCCCTGGTATGAGCAGATAATACATGAGAGGTAACACTCACTTTTACTATTGCCATGATTATACATAATAACTGGATGTTTGTTATGACATTTATTCTCGGTGGCCACACATGTGTCATTTATTCTACTGGCCGGACAGCAATGTGGTTTCTATCGGAGATACCTCAGCTAAGGGATTCTTGAAATTCTTGAGTTTATTCTTGGTGGCCACATTGTGTCATTAATTCTACTGGCCAGACAGAAATGTGATTTCTATCGGAAATATGTCAGTTTCAGGATTTTGGGAATTCTTGTGATTATTCTTCGTGGCCACACAAGTGTCATTTATTCTACTGGCCAGACAGCTATGTGATTTTCATCAGAAATACATCAGCTAAGGTATTCTGGGTATTCTTGTTTGTACTCATGAAAATGTTGATTTATATTACGTGCTGATAAAGGCTCTCTGGCTGCGACGTTCACTGGTCATTTGTGTTTGTGATAATGTGAAGCTTACTGGTTCTGCTTTTCATCTGGTTTAATATCTTTTCATGTTTTTATGTCACTTTCACTGTGCCAAAGTTACCTAAGTGAAAAGTCTTTGTTTCAAGAAAATCACATTTGAAAAATGAGATCTTTCTGACAAATCACTTTGTGGTAAACGAAAAATGTGTAGATGGGTGACAAGCAATACTTCATCTTGACCTGTTTGGAGTAAGGAATTTACAAGTGTAAAGTGGCAAATAACAACCCTTAAAAATCGCGACAGCACTAGCCATAAGGCCGTAAATCCTAAGGCTCAACCCGCCCCCTTTATACCATAAAAGTGGCATAATAAAGGCTTTAATAAGCAGTTCTTTTCTGGCAATTATTTTTAAGAAAATTATTTTTTGTTTATATCAGTTGTGCGGCTTAAAAGGTTGATTAATGTGCTTCAGAAATTTCAGAGCAATTAACTCTTTCAATTCCAAGCAGCAAGAAGCAGCTGGCCAAGTGGTTACAACGTCAGGCTGTCATTCAGGAGACCCGAATTCAAGACCCAATAAAGTGGTGGAGATTTTCTGTCTGGACAAAATTAAATATCCTAACCTGCACAGTCCACGGTGACAGCACTAACCATGCGGCCTTAAATCATCAGGCTCACAATCTACACCATCATAAAAAGGGGTAAATACAGACAGTAGTGACAGTCCCAAGGAGCTCATCATACGTTCCCAGGTTCCTCTTTAGAAGCTCAAGGAACGCAAGATGCAGCGATTTTATGTCTCTCTTCACAACCCCATGGGTCTCTGATGCTAAATTTCCTGGGACTGAAAGAGTTACAGCACTAGGGCTCAGACTATCTATTTACAAATAATTAGAGCACTCTAGTGGTTTTCGGATAATGGTACAAGCACTGTGTCATGGAAGAAGTTAAGGTCTCTCACTACATAATGTTCACAATGACAGCAGTATGTGCACTGCAACCAACCTTCACTGTGGAGACGGCACATAAATTTATTATTTTATTTTAATCAGATTTGCAAATGTTTCCTCCACGCGGATGTTGATGATAATGAAACCAATGTTAAAACTCCCTGTCTTCCTCCTAATTTCCCCTCACTTTCACCCATTCTAAAGATATTTACTCTGCCACTTGTTCACACAGTCATGGAATACACCATCTCACCTTGGGAGTTCTGTGATCTGGGGGCCGTGCAAAGAGGGCATCATCCGGTAGCTGGGTGCCAGAGGGCACTGTCTCTGATTGGCGTGAGGCATTGTATGTGTGGAATCTGCAGTGACAATTGACATTACAACATAAGTCAGGTGTACTGTAGCACAAATACAGTTGCAGAGTCATAGCAATAAAAGCAGACCAAAAAACACACACAGAGAATGGAATCAGAGAGTGAAGTGGAAAAACAGGAAAGTGTGGGGGAGGGAGGTATTGGGTGGGCTTTACCTGACAGAAAAAGATAGGATGACTTGACACAAGTTGGTTAGAGGTCTGTGCTCCACTGGGGGATAAAGGGAAGAGGAAGAATATAGAGAAGGAGGAAGATAGAATGATGAGCAGAGGAGGAGGGACTAGAAGAGGGAGGAAGAAGGGGCAAATATATATGTGTGTATGTGTGTGTGTGTTGTGTGTACTGCTGAATTAACATAATCTGTTTCTAGATAGAATACAACTGTGGTGTGAGAGAGGAATGCTTCAGAGGGCCATATCTAAGACAGGCCTGCATGCCCAATTTGCGACCCTTTGAGAACAGAGTTTGTTTGCTCGTTAATTTCTATGAGTGCCAACCAATACACTTTAATCTGTTTAACATACTGTTTCTATGGCCTCAGGGATTCCCCAACTATTTAATCCTGGATTAAATCAAATTCTGCTGCATTCTGGTTATCAGCATCTCTTTCTTCTTTTGCGTTCGGCATCAGCCATGATAAACATTTCATCCTGTCTGGGTTACAAACAAAACAGTGTGTGTAAGGTTCCACCCCCACTTGTCTTCGTAATTGTGACTCCGTTAGTCTAGCAAGATCCCCAACCTCTACCAGGGCAGCTATGGCAATTCTGCAGCACATGCTCAAGAGTCTGTTAAACAGCCACAAGAAAAGACAACAGCTAGCAAACTTACTTGCAGGTCGGGTTCAGAACCATAGAGAGAAGCTCCAGTAGAGGAAACCAGTCCTGAGACAGCTTGTGCACACATAACTCTATCAGTTTCTCAGCGTTCTTCAAGATACATTTCTGTGGGGCATAAATACAAATAGTGGCTAGATATAGGCCTGCTATCTTGCAGGTTTTAGGTTCACATCTACACCGAGAAGATGTTATCACTGATCAGGTCGATGTAGCCTAAAATGGGTAATATTAAGTGTCGTGTAAAGTATAGGTGGCTGACATAATGACACCTATTTGACCACATTACCCCTATCAAGTGTCAACTGGTGTATAAAAATATTGGCCAAGCACTACATGCCACATTTGTGATCTATGCTGATGAATTACATGTTATTTAATGTGTGTGCGCACGCGCGTGCTTGTAAACCTTATTACTTTTGTCAGGTTTTAGTCAGATATGGCTGAACTACCATACAACACTAGTTGGTGCTACTTGTTCTTTTCTTTTTTTAAATACTGCATGGGGGGGGGGGGGGGGGGGGGGGGGTTGTGTATACCAAACCTGACATCCCACATTGTGCGATGAAATGGGAAAGGTGTGGAGAGGTAGGGAGAGCACTGAAGAGGATACTAAGGTTTAGCCAAGGAGGAGGAAATGAAACGTGAAAACAATGTTAATGGAGACCCTTAGCCTTGGCTGGCAGCTGGTCTAAGAGTGAAATGCCAGTAGATAGATAAGATAAGAGAAAACTGCTCTTCTGATCCAGCTGCCTTTGGTCAAGCAGCTCGGTAGCATTTCAAAACATACTGGTCTACATTTCCTTTGGAGTGAACAAGGCAGATCAAGAGAGGAATCATGCTACATGGGCAACATCTGGTCTCTATTATACTGCCCAGCTTTTGTGTTATGGAGAAGAGATTCCTGTCGCACAAAATTACACTATAATCTGGAATGACAGAGAGGTGTCAACCAAAATTCCACTTATCAAAATTATAATGGGAGTCATATACAGTGACCGGTACAATGACTAGCTTGCTAGTCCACTCCATGATCATCATTCATCCTCCTGTAGCTGATCCTTTTCAGAAAGTTACTTTCATAATGATCCGCCTTAAAGAAACAGGGTCTCTCACCAGCTCTCCTGCCTTATACATTTTCTTACCCAAGGTGTCCCTTATACTCTATGCCCATCTTTTCCCTGGACGCAGCCTGCCCTACTTTCCTGTACAATGTGTTCTGATATTCATTTTTTTTCTTGATCCGCTAAGGGGGTCTCCATGGTAAAGATGTCAAGCCCTTTGCTTGCACTTTGAAGGTCGTGGGTTCATTTCACAGCGGTGCTGTTCAGTTCACGGCTGCAGAGACCCCTGGAGATCGTCGCCAGAGCTACATTGGTCGTGCTCTGTGTGGCGCTTTTGGCAGGCAGCTAGCTGTTCTGTGGCGAAGAGAGATCAAGCCAGATGGGATTAAACCCGGTGCAATGAAGCTGATCCTCTCAACTTTACCTTTCAGATTTCCCATCATGCCCGATATGGCCAATATTTCAGATAACCCCCACAATCAGATTATGAATTTCCTACAAGGAAGAATTTTTTCGTAGTAAAATCCCAGTACAATCTAGCATAATACTGGACAACATGTGTGTCCAGGAAAGTCGTCTTCTGCATTCCCTCTCAAAAGGGTGGTTGGCATCTTGTGTTTTTGGTTTATAGCGAGGATGCAATATCTGCGACTTTACGCAAAAAGTCAGATTTAAGAAAACTCTTGACATGCTTGTTGAGGGGTAGAAGTTGTATACATTTTTTGTTTTCAAGAATGGCACCATGGAAGCCACGTGAAATCCTGAGAAGTAAGACCAACAGCATGATACTGACTACATCATTCAACATCTGGGCTAGCATCATATACCCCCCCCCCCCCCAGCCTTTACACATAGGACAAGAAAAACAGTCCACAGTTATAACCAAAACCTATTTTGATAAAGAAGCTGGTTGATCTATCTGGGTTTTGCCATCAAACCAGCCAGCCAGCCAATCATATACCCAATATGCCCCATGTGTGGAAACTGGTTATTTTACAATTATAAAAGCAATATTTATTATTATTATTTGTATTATTATTCGTGTTCACCAGCTGTAAACTCCGGCAGAAAGTTCTGACAGTTCGTTCACTTCTGGACTTTAGTCTTGCTCCAGAACTCGTATTTTGCATGCACATTCATTTTACAGATCAGGTTTACATGTATGCAGACTGTTGGTTTCTCATCACTTAGGCAGATGCGTTTACATCAGAAGGGAGATCTCTAATTAGTCACCAAAAATGAGACCCTGGAATCCACATGAGCAATTTACTGTTCTAAAATAGCCATGCTGCAAAAGATCAAAGTAGTCAGTCTCACAAGAGACATTACTGCTGGGGTGTGAAGTGTGAAGCCCTCACATTCTAGGCTATGACATATAAGGTAGGGTGAACACTTCTCTTCCTGGTTGCCTTTACTTTTCCAGACAATTTCCAGAAACTTCCTGTCAAGGGAGAAATCTTGCTACTTCTGGGGATCAGGGAGCAATGACAGCATAAAGGCTAAATGCTTGCCAGTCAGCCAGGAGATCTTGAGTTCAAATCTGCACTGAGGTAATTTTTTTTTCCTTTTTTAATTGATACTGGCTCCCAAGTCGACCAGACTAAAACAGATACCAGCTAATATCCTGGGATTAAAAGTGCTGGTCTCCTGTTAACACAGCTTCCTCTAAATTCTAGGGAGCTGTAGTGCCTACACAGTTTCATCATATCCTCGAGTGACGGCCCCTGGCATATCCCTGGATAATTATTTTCCTGGCCCCACATGCCTTGCCAGACTATTGTCTTGACATCGACCTGGCTGCCACGAGATACGCAGATAATTGATATTGTGTAGTATTGTCTAATCTACGTATGTGCTTGAAAAAGGCTCCATAGCCGCAACGTTCATGTTTTGTTTGTTATATAGTGAAGCTCGCTGATATACTTTTCATTCGGTTTCCTATCTTTTCCCGTTGACCACATGACACACTGAATGCAAACTGGTCTATATAAAGTTGAAGGTCTAGTATTGAAGCTTGATGGGGAGCCGATGAAGCGTGCTGGACAGACATTCAATCCCCCTGCCAGCCTGAAAGTCTTGGGTTTCAAATCAATATCGAGTCTATTTTCTTTTCTTCAAAATTAACCACGATTCCCAGGTCAGCCGAGTCTAAATGGGTACCATGTGATGATGTGGGAAGTAAAGGCAGTCAGCGTGATGCTGACCCACGTCGCCCACCAAGCGTCAAGTGGTCTATAAAAATATTACTCTAGCATCATCTAGTGCCGTGGTTTTCAACCTTCTTTAGGTTGCAACCCTTTAATACAGTTCTCTCATGTTGTGGTGACCCCAAACATAAAATTATTTTCATTGCTTCTTCATAACGTCAGTGAAATTGTGTTTTCCAATGGTCTTGGCAACCCCTGTGAAAGGGTCATTTGACCTACAAAGGGGTCGCGACCAACATGTGAGAACTCCTGATCTAGTGAGACTGTCATTAAAAAAAAAGCAATCCTTTACTATTACAGGGTGTCCAATGTTTCCATATATAAGGAAAAAAATAAACATAATTTTCATGAAATCTTTTTATTTATATAATATGCTTTATTTAAATAACTACCATTACTTTGAAAACACATTTTGATGCATATCCTCCACAACAGAAGAACACGTATAAGCACAGCTAGAGTTATGCTTGTAATGGCATTGGTAATGTTTTATTTTCCTGTGTCACTGCTTCACCTCATACAATCAGACCACAAACACAATCCCCAGAAATTATTCTAAGACCAAGCAACACTCTACCGGACATGAATTTACAGAGGCAGCCTTACGTGGATTTCATACTTCCAGCCACTCACTGCTTCATCTGTTAGGATTTTTGTGAAAGAGATCGTTAAGCCTTCACGAAAGAACCTCTGGCATGCCTCACTCCTGGTATCTAATCCTGAAAATAGCAAGAAAAGCATGTAGTAAACAATGAGAAACATGTTTCCCACTGTGGGTTCTGGGACCCATTTTGGGGTGGGGGGTAGCTAAGTTTCGATACTCACGAACCCTCGTGCAAGTAGCACAAAGTGCAAATAATCATGCAAATGAATGGTGACAACACGAGAAAAGAGGAAACGGTTAAACCCTTGAAAATAAAGAAATACATCACACCCCCACAACACAGGACAGAATGTGGGAATAGCCACAGCATGAATGGGAGGGAAGGGAACTCTTACACAATGGTTGGCAAGCTCAGAAGTACCAAAACCATTTTACACAGGTTTCCTAGTCAATTGTAGAAAATTAATTTGTCTTCGTTAAAAAAATTTTTTTCTGAAATATATAAAGATATATAAAAAGGGGTAATTAATCATCACAGAGTGAATCATTAAATGGAATAAATTTCACTAGGCCTTAAAAAAAACATGACTCCTATAAATGAGCCTTACTGGAAAATTTGTAATCAACTTGGCTTTTTTTAAAAAGCTATTGGGGTCATTACACCTCCACTAAATGCTATTACTATATTCCTAAATACTAAGTTACTATATTATGACTTCGAAAGAAGCTCCCAATTAGTCGACTATTAAGACATGTTTTTGGGTAGGCAGTGGGTCTATTCTTTTTTCCCCCCCTATAATAGGGAACCCGAACCCACACTGGGAGGTAATCTGTCGATTAGCTAACTAACTGCGAATCCCCTCCCCCAAATACTCAAAGAAAAAAATGTACATGTAAAAACTATCAAAAACTAATGGATGTTGGCCAATGTCTTTGCTGCAGAGAGATTTGGTTTCTCAATTGATGTTGAAAACAAAAAAAAATTGAATTTTTTTCTCACTCTCCTGCAAGCCCTTAAGATCTTGCCCTTGATTCTGCATAAAGGTAAATGTTTTTTCAGAACTGACTTTGGCTTCTTGGTCAACTCAACCTGCAACCAGGTAATGTACTGGGAAGTAAAAGCTGTTGACAACATCACTGACCAATGCCAGCTGGTCTTCAAAACAACAACAAAAACAGGATGAGCCTGATGAACCATTAGCATGAGAGTGTCCTTCACTTTACTCAATACTAATTAATTAGTGAGTAAGATAACATGTTTCTCTTTACCTTCTTTGCTCAGCTTGATTGCAGCATCCAGTAAGACTTCTAATTCTCCCTTTGGTAAAACAGGAACAACCCAGCGAGGTCTATTGATCATCTCGTCTAGTCTGCCAAGCTCTAACAAAGGGAATTCTGGTTCTGCATCTCCGGCACCTTGTACTTAAAGAATGAGAAAATGTTAGGGTTTAGAAATTTAAAAAAAACTGTTAGCCCAACATAAAATACACAAAATAATGAGTTTAATGCACACCAAAAAACTGAACAAAGCTGGACTTTAAAAAAATTTATCTCGGCTTCAGGTCGACCCATCCTTGAGTGGGTACCAACTAATATCCTGGGAAGTAAAGGTGGCTGGTGTGACCCTGACCACATCACCCACTCAGTGCTGACCGGTCTATTAAACATAGTTCTAGCCATGCATGCCCAACATGCCTGAAGGCGTGAAAAATGTGTTTTTTTTATACGAAAAACTAAGTTTCCTCTTTTGTTGTTAAAGCAACTGTGTCTCAATAATATCCTACCAAATGTGGCAAGTATTTCTACGATAGATGTCTCCAAGTTAAATCCTAATGAAGTGGCAGCACATTTTCTATTAAGCTATCTATTACTAAGGGAACTGTGTTCGCACGGTGGTTGGACGCTTGCCTGCAGATGTAAAAGTCTTCGATATGAATCTTCCAGATTTGTCTTCCAATTAACCCTGGCTTTCTAGTCAACCCAGTCTAAAACAGGTACCAGGTAATGCCGATAGGAAGTAAAAGCGGCTGGCGCGATGTTCATCACACTGCCTACAGAGTGCCAATCAGTCTATAGACAAAAATAAGGAGTCTGGCATCACACACATCAGCACCACCGCCATTATAAGGGTCCTTTACCAGTGATTACTCATTTCATTCCAAGTCTGAAACAGGTCTGTCTAAAATCTCATTCTATTTAATATTTAGGAAATCAGTCCACCTAGCTGATTATATACTCTGCTTCCCTGTGTGTGCTCCAGGGCCTCACTGTGGGGAAAACAAGAAGCATGTCGTAGGAGTCGACTAATTGGGAATTTTCTTCAAAGTCGAAGTGAATCCATATGTGAGGCAAGGAACCAACAGTCTGCATACACATGTCAGATCTGTAAAATGGGTGTGCAAGCAACAATCAGGTTCTGAACAAGTCTAAAGTCCAGAGCTGGATGAACAACGAGAACTTTCTGATAGAGTTTACAGCTGGTGAATGCAAAGAAGAAGATATACTCTGCTTCTTCTTCTGTCTTTTATCCCACAATGGAAATAAGCCTCAACCAACTCATACCAGGTCATTTTGTGTGTGGGAGGGGGCTGGTGTATGTGTGTGCTCTTGTGAGCAGCTTATTCTATGTCCAACATCTTTTTCAGTTTATTTTTTCTACTCTCAGATGTTAACTCCAGCAGAAAGTTCTGCTTTTCATCCATTTCTGGACTTTGGCCTAGTTCCAGAACTTGAGTTCTATGTGTACATCCGTTTTACAGATCTGGTGTATTTATTTGCTTACTGCTGACACCTCGCCTCTCAGGAAGATGAACTCTAAAGTAAACCCCCCTAATAAGTAGACTGAAACCTTTATTCATCAGCGACCGCACATTGGCTTGCCGGTAGACGACTGCATCGCTGGTCGGTATAGTATTTGGGTCTGTCTCGTTTGATTGCAACAAAACTACAGAAGTCCTTTTCAGGGATCTTGGAGGCATGCAATAACCTAGGCACAATTCTAACCTAAAACTCCCCCATTCGGAGAAGCTAGGTGAACGTGATGATTGTTTTTTTTCCCCTAGCAAAGCACCTTCTTCTTCTTCAGCATTCCGAGCCCTTGAGGTTCATTGCTGCAGATATCACCTGCCTCCATTCACCTCTCTGGTTGGTCTTCTCTTTCCAGTTGATGACACCAAGTGTTTGCAGGTCTGTCTGGACATTATCCCTCCATCATCTTCTTGGTTTGCCTCGTGGTCTACGACCAGCAAAGCACCTACTTACCTTTATTCAGATAGTCATGTATAATAAAGGTGGCTGAAGTAGAGTAAATTAACTGGACTATATTGGCAGAAACTATTCACTGGCCGGCAAGCTGCATTAGTGAAACCATTGAGTGTTGAAGGTCCTTGGGCATATTGGGCATATCAGGCTTGACTCATTTTTTTACTGACCAATCTGTTCTCGATGGGTGATGTGGTCCTCAATGGCTGATGTGGTCAACAGCACACTGGCCACCTTTACTTCCCATCACTGTACCTTATACCCCATTTGAAGTTGGGTAAACCTGAAAGCCAAGGTCATGTGGATTTTAACCCCATACCTTCAGATATGCAGGCAATCATCTAGCCGCTACAACACAATGGCTCCCAACAAGCACAAATACAAGTTATGTTATCAAAATTGACGTCACTGCACATTAGGCATTCCCAAGCGTGCCCAGTCCTCTGATGCAGCAGCCACTCTGAAGTACTTCTACTAATTGTTCCCATGAGAAGCTGGTTATATTGTCTCCTTATCGGCACAGACGTGCTTCACCATGCTTTCCTCCTATGTCCCGCAATTGTGTTAGTGTCAGGGACAAATACAAGTCTAACATCACATGCTCGATATGCCACTAGCATAAACAAGGTCACTGAACAAACAAAAGCAAACTCAATAAAAGCTTGTTTTGTTTTTGTTTTTTTTAACTGCTCACCTGCTGTGTCACCTCCACCGGATGATGGCAGAGAGGCAGAAGAAACCTCAGCCTCCTCATTTGGTGGCAGTGCAGTCACCACCGCATTTGTAGAATCCACTGAGCTACTACTTTCTGTGGCCACTGCGGTGGTGGTGGTGCTGCTGCTGCCGCCAGCTGCTGTTGTGGTCACTGTCGTTGTCGACGTCTGACTTTGCTGTGCTGTAGTGACACCTTGTTGTTGTTGTTGTTGTTGCTGCTGCTGCTGTTGTGGTTGAAGACTGGGAGTGGTAGCATTGTCCTGTACTGCATCCCCACCTGCTGAGCCTGGGTGCATTTTTATGGTCATTCTCGTTGACCCTATTTGATACTGCAAACAGTTTACAAGAAAACAATATAAGAAATAATAGAAAACAGCAAAGAAAACTATTACAAATATCTCCTTAGTCTAGATTCCTGAACAAATATCTTACTCCTAGATTTTCATTTGTTCGTTTAAGAAAACGTAAAGGACTCTTTTCATGCCATTAGGCATAGTGGGTATATAGGGCTAGATCTATATTTTATAGACCAATCAGCACACTGTTGGTGATTTTCTTCTTCTTCTTTCGTTCACTTTAAATAGATTATCTATATCTGCAATGTCGTCTCTAGTATGAACTTCATTTCTTTTCACTCAGCGACCCTAAAGTTTGGCTTCAATCAGTGTTTCTCTTGATCAAAAGTTGTATTTTGGACAGTCTTGAAGGACGTGATCTGTTGTCTCAGATGCCATTCCATGTGTGTGTTCATGGCTGATTTGCAAATCTTAAATTTTGTATACATTTGGCTGTGAAGTTGACAGTGGCATATAATAATGACATACTCTGGTCTCTCCATAATATGGTAATCATCTTGTGCCTGTTTTAGTGGCTCTCTGACTGATTTAATTATTCTCTTCTTCTGTTGATAAGAGACCGGTATGTCAGGTTGTTCTTAATTAGCACCTTCATTAACTAGTTTATCAGCTCTCTCATTTCTGGGAACTCAACAGTGTAATGGTATCCACAGTATAGTCAACTTAAATCGTTTGCATAGTTAGTACAGTAGTGCCTGTATACCAGGTAATTTCCCAGATTCGAAGACCTGAAGTACCGCTCAGGACTACTACAGGTTGTGAAATACGACAGGTATTTAGCAGTTTCTCTGCTGCTATCTTGATGGCTTGAACTTCTGCATTATAGTTGTGACAGTGTTTTCCTGTTGGTAGTTTAGCAGCATCTCTGTTGTTACTTGGATGCTCAATGTACACTCCTGCTCCGTCATTTCTGCTAGCGTTTTGTGCTGACCCATCTGTTTAGACATGAACCCAAAAGATCCTGTGGTTGGTTATTCATCATCAAGTAGACTGAGGGTGGTCATTTTTATCTTGCACACTCTTTTGTTTGCCCTTATTTAATACTCCTAGCTTTATTGCCCAGGATCACATGGTACCCACTTAGGTTGGGTTAATTTGAAAGTGATGGTAATTTTTTTTTTTTTTAATCAGCTTGATGCAGACTGAAACCCTTTGGGCCCACAGGTAAGTGTCCAGCCACTACACCAAAGTGGCTACCGTTTAGGAGAAAAACATTTAAGGGAATAAAACTGTGACCACTTTCTGCCTTCTGAGCACACTAGTTGGTACAAGACAGAAGGAAATGGAAAACTACTGGAGACTTATCTGATGTATGCATAACATGATGATGATGATATTGGATCGTATCAAGCCCGTAGGGGCCTAGCAACTCAGCAGATATGCGAGGCCAGGAACCAGGAAACCAGATCTCCAAATAGGTAGACAACAAATCAAATGGTTTGTTCATGTAACAAGACTGGCATCAGACAGGACACCATAGAGAGCAGTGTCATATAGATACAACAGTAACCAGACGTCGACCACACAGAAGATGGACTGCAGAAATATCAGAGACTCTGAAAAGTACTTTATACAAAGCAAACAGAGTTCCAGAGATATCTTCCTGTCCTGATACAGTGAGGCATTCCAGGAGTAGATAAAAGAAGAAGTGCCAGAACACTGTTAATTCAACACATTTTAAGCAAGTTAGAGGGTTAATGGGCCAAACAAGATTGAAAGGTCTTGATTAACAACATCCATTTGAGGTTCTGGAAAGCAATTAGGGGGGGGGGGGGGGGGGGAGAGAACAGACCCACTGCTCTAAAGATAAGCTGTAATTGGATATATTTACATTACTGCTGCCTTTGATAAGAATCCATACAAGTAGTTTTAACACTGCCTATATCACTCCTCATCGTATGTAAAGGTTCTGTGAAGTCTGGCAGTCAGTTTTCAGCTGATAAGAGAGATGGGGGGAAAAGACAAGAGGAGAGATGGGAGAGACAAGTGAAGAGATGAAAAATAGAAAAGTGAAGAGATGAAAAAGAGACAAGGGAAGAGATGGAAAAGAGACTGGGGAAGAGATAAAAAAGAAAAAAGTGGAGAGAGGGAAAAGAGACAAGTATAGACAGAAGTGAAGAGAGGGAAAGTTGATACGCACAAATAGATGGAAAAGAGACAAGTGAAGAAATGGAAAAGTGGAGAGAGACGAAAAGAGAAAAGCAAAGAGAGGGGAAAAATCCTAGTGAAGTTACAGAAAAGAGACTGAAGAGATGGAAATACACAAAATAAGAAACATGAAAAGAGACAAATGAAGATCTGGAAAAGAGATGATCTGGAAAAGAGACAAATGAAGATCTGGAAAAGAGACAAGTGAAGAAAGGAAAAATGACAAGTGAAGAGAGGGAAAAAGACAAAACTAGAGACAAGTGAAGAGATGAAAAAGAGACAGAAAATAAAGGAGACAAGCGAATAGATGGACAAGAGAAGTTCTTTGGCAACAATGGAAGACGTGACACCCTTACAGAAACCTTGTTAAGGGAAGGTTTGAGGACAGAAAAGGGGGTGAGGGTGGACCGTGATTTTGTGGGAGGATAAAACCATATGGAGATTGACAGGTATGTTGGGCAGAGCCAGGGCAAGATACATGGTGTTGGAGATCCCCTGCAAACAACCTTCACTGTGAAGAAGGTCCCTGATTATGTAGTATCCTACCTGTGTTACAATGTGTTAAAAACACATTGTAACATAACTTCACTGTGAAGATGACACATGGTTAACTGTAATTCCTGTGTTTATGTTTTACACTATGTCATCTGATTAACTATTATTCTGTATGTTAATTTCATACTATCTCCTATCAATTTAAAATAAGAATAATAAACTGCATAAAAAGTAGTCAGCTTCTCAAATAAACTATACTATAAGCAGATGTAAACTGGACTGACATGGCAAATGGACAGAAAATACAGTAATCCTAACTGGAAGTTCTAACGTCACTTGTAATCATAACTAGACATTATAGTGTAATGTAATATTAATAACTGTTGTAGTTGTTTTTGGTTTTTTTAAATGTTTGATTCACTAGTCACTACTCTTTTGATAGAAAGTAGTAATCTGTCATAGTTTTTAATTTACAACTGCTAAACTTGTCTAGTAATATACAATACTAGTAGTCATAATATGAATATGAATATAAGAACATTTCACAGCTTAACATTGTTTGCATACAAAATATTCTTGAGAATAACGCAGTATTACATTATCATTAAGTAAGAGGAAGGACACCAATTGCAATAAGTGGACTAACAAAAACATATCATCAGGACAAACTTCACAAACCCATAGCTAGCAGAAAATTTCTGAGAAATGCAACTGACAGACAGTCCGAGAACAAACAATAATTAGGTGGTGGGAGGTAATTACGTACTTCACATGTACTTCGTCATGGGTGATACTAAAATGGGGATGACCAGCCACCTTAAACTTAAACAATGTCCCTTTCCTTCAAAACGACGTTTGTGGCACCAACTTTACGAAAACTGTGGAACTTTATTCACAGATCACAGACACTACCTACTCTCCTCAAAACCACCGAGAACCGACAAGCAGAATCAATAAACTACGATGAATGACGTGCAAGATTTCTACTCTAAACACAATTATCGCATCGAATGTCCTGTATCTTTACATTGTAATTTCAAAAAGCTGTATTTTACTTGGAGTTACTACGTGTTAAGTCCCAGAATCTGCCTCCTAGACGCAGAAAACGCTCAACGAAAGTGGGAAACCCCGGATTCACTTCATTAAAAATGGCCGACAATATCAAAACGGTAATATTTCACATTCTATTCACTTTTACGTGCCAACCATGAGATATATCGTTACCTAGCTCGTCGTGGGAATGGGATGGTGTTGAAAACAGCACATCAGTTCCACATTTGCCACAGGTAAATGTGCTCAGCTACGATATTTACAATCTGATTTCCTCAATATAAGTGAGCACACACAATGGGCTAAAAATACACTACACTGTAGTATTATGGTAATGAAACTGGTCTCGTCACTACGAGACTTCACCATGCATCATAATTAATGTCTGTTTTTGTAATAATATATGTTGATTTTCTGTATTTTTGTTAACTATTTTTGATTCTTTGTGATAATTGGGATATGTTGTTGTTATTTAGAAATTGTAATATTCGTTTAGTCGTAAAATGGTGGGTTTGTTTAAAAAGTGTGCTCTTCCTTGTGGCTGCTGCTTGGTGCCAGTGATACTGTTTTGTTTTCATTTTCCCCTACAGGCTGTTTTAAATTAAAATTTTGTAATGCAAAATGAAAATATGTTGATGATTGTGTTAACATTCATTTGAACCAACAAGGCGAAAGAAATAAAATAAGACTTCAAAACAAATTAGAAAGGGCATTAAAGACGGACGAGTGAGGACATAAGAGTGAGCTGCACGATATAGTAAGAGATGTGAAGGTTGAGGTTAAAGTCGAGAGGATTGACTTCATTGCACTAGGTTTTATTCCAAAATGGCTCAATCTGCCTCCACATAACAGCTAGCAGCCTGCTGAGACCGATGCACAGAACACGAACTCCGTAGCTCCGGCACCGATCCCCTGGAATCTGCGTAAAATTTGCACTCATGGGCGCAGCCGTGAAACAAACCCACAACCTTCAGAGAGCGAGGCAAACGACTTGACCACTTCGCCACGGAAAGAGATGTGAATGTTGTGAGGTTAAAGTGAGAGTTTGTGAGATTGGGGTATACTACCCCCTCCCTCCCCCCCCCCCCCCCCCCCCCCCCCCCCCCATCCCTACCCTCCCCCTAAAGTTTGTAAGAAGACCAAGGTAGGTTGGTAAGTTGTACCCCAACAGGACATTACACAAGCGATAAACACACGGTGACAAAAGTGCCACAGTGCGGATGAGGACCACCCGTGGAGAGGTCCCAGAAACCCCGTTCAGCCGTTAGGCCATATTTAAG